GCCAAAGGGCATGTATGGTCTGGAGTTCCTCGGGGATCAATCCTAGGGCCTCTCCTCTTTCTTATGTATGTAAACGATCTGGCAGAAATGGATCACACATCACTATATGCTGATGATACAGCACTACTTGTGACAGCACCCACTCTCCCCGAGGCTAGTGCCAAGTTACAGTCCAACATAGATGGCGTTATTCATTGGATGGAAAAATGGAAATTGCAGCCCAACTCTTCGAAAACTGCTGTAATGTGTACCCCCCCCCCCCCCCCCCCCCCCAGTTGTTCCTGTGACCTATCTTCATCAGTAACCAGTCCCTTCACCTTTCCAGGCACCACAACCCCGCTCTGCATCGTTGAAAAACACAAGCATCTTGGTGTCATTATTGACCAACACTTAACCTGGAAATCCCAGATCGAAAATTTAGACAGCCGTGTTAGCTCAGTAATGGGATTTCTCTCATCACACATCACCCACCTCCACACCGACTGTCGCCATGTTATCTACACATCTTACATTCTGCCTAGTTTTGATTACTGCTGCATAATTTGGGCTGGCATTTCTAAAACACTGATTGCTCGACTCGAAGTTATGCATGGGCGTCTTTTGAAAATATTATTTCGGCTTCCTCGCCTGACTCCAAGCGCAGACTTATACCGCCTTGCTTCTGCTGTGCCGCTCTCGGTCCGCGTGCGTTTTTTGGCATGCCAGACAATTCATAAAATTAAGCTGGGCATTGCTCCTCTTCATGCTCTCTCCTGCCTAAGCTGGTTTGCTCAATCTCAAGACATGCGCACCAGAAACTCTCTCCGCTTCCCTATTGCGCGGTCTGCCTCTATGCAAACATCTCCTCTCTTCCTTGCTTACCGCCATTGGTCTCTCCTCCCACAACATCTAAAATCCTGCCAATGTTACAATACATTCACACAGCTACTGCAGAATGCAACATACTAGTTGATATCCAGCCCTGCCCTAGCTTCTCTTGCTTTTCAGTTCCCCTTTCATTTTCCCCTCTAGCTCTTAGTCTATTACCGCCATGGCTGGCTATCGCCCACATCACCATTTCATTGGCTAGTGCCACGTGATTGTGAATAAATAAAATAAAATAAAAAAATAAATAAAAATAAACTGGGTGTGTGACTAAGGCATTTGCTTTGGCTGGGTTGGCAAGTATGCTCCCTGAGAATCCTCATCGTGGTGTATTATAGGAACTTTCGTGAACAAGCTTTTCACGACGAAGCTGGCCATTATGTGGTTGAGGAGTATGTTTCAGGAGGGTTCTAGAACAAAGTCAGTGACCTGGAAGTGACCTCAGTGGAAGTGACCTCAGTGGAAGTGACCTGGAAGTGTTTTGACAGGTTGTGGTTTGACCTTGTCGATTTGTGGTTTAACCTTTGATTACTTTGTGGTGACATCTGTCAAATAGTGTTACCCGATCACGTGTAGCATGAGCTATAATCCAACTACTTCTACTGTTGGCTCACGCACCGAAAACTCTAGAACACCTGGCCGGGTTATGTAATATGGGCGAGTTTTTTTGCTTGGTTCTCCTAACTCTGCCACTTTGACGTCTATGGAAGTGTCCGTTATCGTTGAGATGAATTCTTGAGATTTTGTGACATGTGTCGGTGACTCGCCTGTGAGTGTCCATACAAATTTAGCCAGGAACGGTGCTAGTCGATGGACCGGAGAGCCAATGGCCACCACTATTGGCCTGAGTGGTATGTTGTCTTTGTGGATCTTGGGAAGACCATAGAAATGTGGAGCCGTGCTGCCCGTGCACGCCTGAGGGTTGTAGAATAGCGTCTGGGAGCGAGATATTTCATCACCCATCTTTCCATTGGTCGTAGAACTCTAAGGAGTTTGTCTACAATCCCGTCCGTGGGATCCCGTGGTGGTGGGGGGGGGGGGGGGGGGGGGTAGGTCGTATGGTCGTTCAGATGTTCTTGAATCTTCTTATTGTAGTCCGCTAGGTCCATCAGCATGACCGCTCGTCCTTTGTCTGCTGGCAGTATCTTGACTGTGTTCAATTTCCGGAGGCTTCTCAGCACTAAGGCCTGTGCTCTTGTTGTGTTCGGGCCCGGTCACGCTAGTGGCGGGGTCAAGTGCTTCTTGCACTGTCTTGCATGTGGCTATTGCCAGGCCACGGCGATCATCCGGAAGTTTGTTTGCCCACATCTCCATTCTTGTAATGATCTCTTCTCTTGGAACTCCTTTCGGTGGGCCTGAGGCCGAAATCAAGGCCCAGTTCCAGGAGGTTGGTTTGATCTCTCGTGAGGTTGTGAGAGGAGAGGTTGAAACCATTAGGTTTCTTTGTCGGAGTTGGAGTACCTACGGGCTGGTGAAGGCTGGAGTTTTTTTCTTCAATTCAAGTGTGTGTGTGTGTGTGTGTGTGTGTGTGTGTGTGTGTGTGTGTGTGTGTGTGTGTGTGTGTGTGTGTGTGTGTAGCGTTGTAGCGTTGTAGCGTGTTGGACGGTGGCTGCACTTTGCTCTTCGATCCACTTCCACATACAGCACACTTGCCACTGGGCACATTGGCACCTTGTCTACGGATGGATGACAGGCGAGACAATGTAAATGTGGTGAAATACGGGAGAAAGCTATGGCCAGAACCGACAACATCAAAACAAGCATACTACAGCATAGGGTTGGCACCTTGTCTGCGAGTTTTACATACAATGTGGGAGAGCATAGCGGGTGATAACTCAACGCAAGGCAAGTGCAGTAGATGTACATGTAGGTGTGTGAACAAGGTCACGTGACTGGCAATACTGTACTGAGTGTAAGTGATAGCTCTCTGATGCTGATAGGTTGAGACTCGCATGCTGTACAGTTTATAAATAGGCAGTACAAGCTAAGCCTGAACTTCAGTACTTGTAATTTTAACCTTTCTTATAACTGACAGAGGTATCACTTGAACACCAACCGATTTCTTGAAGGTTACTGCCTGGGTCAATGTGGATTCTGTCTGAACTTGTTTCGCAAACTCAACCTGTTTGATACTGAGCCCTACCAAGTAATAGAGCCCATGAAAGCAGGATGGACAAAAATCAATGCCGTGTTCTACTATCAAAGTATGCGGCGGCAGCCCATGAGTACATGATGCATGATGATCATCAGCGGATATTGGATCTGTATTGCTGTTTTGCTGGACACTCCTGGAAGTATGATACCATAATGTGTAGAGGATGTGATGGCCTGTGAGGCCAGTCAGATGTTGGTCTGGCCTTTCCAGGCCTTTTCAGGTCACCCGATCCTCAGTAAAATAAAGTCGAGACGTTACCAATGTCATGCCCATCTTAGCTGGAAAGATCCCTTCTTGTGGGAGTTTTTCTATTATTGTAATGTTGTTTTCTTGCTTTATTCCAAACAACAACTAACCCGGAGCTCCGGAAAGCTCTGTAATATGATGCCAACAGAATGTAATGGTGTGCGTGCATGAGTACAGACTCGGTACAGGCGTGGGAAGCGGCATATGTAAATCATTAATGGATAGGAGTACAAACGGTGTCGCGTGCATACATGCGTGTGACAGTCCATACATGTATATGTGAACACTACATAATATATGTATGTACTTGATGGGTCACAGGGCATAGATTAACGGCCGGACATCGGACATCTTCCGGCCATTTTCGGCCACTGACCGGACGTCTTCAATTTCACCGGACATAGTGTCCGGTCAAACACGGAAAAAAAGAGCAGCGACCTTTCGACCTTTTTATGCAGAGTTGGGCTTTCTTCGGAGCTTCGTGCCAAATGCGACTTGCATATCGTACAACTAACACGTCTACACCGTAGCCTCAGGCGTAGACTTCACCAGATTTACTTGATCCGCCTGTAGCAACGCGGTTGCTACAGTCAATTCACACTTTCGACCTTTGGTACATGGTGTCGACTTCGCACTTGAAACGATGGGTTGAACTGCAGTCTGCAGTGCAGTTGTTCGCTCTTGAGAGGAAGATGTCATCTTTTATTTTTCACTCTTTCGCTGACCAGGAATCATGGGAATGCAGATAGTCTTTTAGAATGTCTTGTGGAAAGCGAAAGGGAGATTCAAAGGACTTGCCGCCGGGCAAAAAAGTCCGTGGTGTGAAGGCCGCTACTTGCGATAAGTGGATCTCGGACAATGATGCAGAGCTGACTTACTTCCGCCTGGCTGATTTATGACCGGCAGAAGAACGATCGGCTGTTAGCAGAATGTTTGAAGTGTTCCGTGTGCATCAAGTTTGTAGACAGAGTCCGCAGTTGTAAAAACTTCAGCGAGGCTTTCATAACCGGATCCAAGAACCTGAGAACATCAGCGTTCAAGGATCATGCTGGAACGGAGATGCATAAACGAGCAATGAATCTTTTCCGCAGGCAAGAGTGTCCCGCTCGAAATGCCCTCGAATTCGCTCCAATTGCGAAGGCACTGTGCAAGATGGACGATGGTGCTGCCGCTATTGCACGACGCAAATTCGAACTGGCTTACCTTCCCTGCAAGGAGCATATCGCGTTCGCAAAATTCTTGACTGCAACGCTTTCTTGTACATACATTTGTCGTCAGTAAATAGTTCAGTTTCTAATACAAATAAATTGGGGAATTGTACATAGTAATGTGTGAGATACGTCCACATAATGAGTCATTGTGAATATACTTCAGTACTACTAAAAATAAAAAGAAGAAACACCCTGAACATGTGTTGTGGAAAATGTCCGGGCATGTCCGGACAGATTTCAAAACGGAAGGACATTTGTCCGAGCTAAATGAAATCCTTAAGCTATGCCCTGGGTCATAGTATGAGTAACGCCATGCTTATGTGATCATGTGTGTGTGTGTGGGTGTGTGTGTGTGTGTGTGTGTGTGTGTGTGTGTGTGTGTGTGTGTGTGTGTGTGTGTGTGGTGTGGGTGTGTGGGTGTGTGTGTGTGCCGTGTGTGCGTGTGCGTATGCTTGTGTGCTGTTCTGCCACTGTGTGTGAGGTGTGTGCTCGCTTGCTGGTGTGCATGCGCATGTCTTGTGTAGATTGGTGGTTTCCTTGGTGCAGGCATCTACACCAATGTGTGGGAGGTGACAGATAAGTCGACCAACACCAAGCGGGCTATGAAGATTGTGAGTACCGTATTTTACCGGTTATAAGTCGACCCCGGTTATAGGTCGACCCCCCGTATCCGGAGGTCTTAATTATGTTTTTAAAGTGTTTGCCCAACGAAGCACTGCTAACCGCTCCCTGCTACTAACACATGAACAAATCACATAAACACTCCTCATTGGATTCTGAAACATCCCAATCCTTGAAAAAGGCAAATAAACTTGGCAAAAATGCATACACATGGTGCACTCGTGTATTCAGTGCAGGTCATTTTTGGAAGATACCGATAATTCCCGGTTATAAGTCGACCCCCACCTTTTCTCCTGCTATTTTCAGTCGTGAAAAGGTCGACTTATAACCGGAAAAATACGGTAATCTCCAGTGCAGTGCACGGAGCTTCAACCTATCTAAGCCAACCGCTCAACGCGCCTTCAAAATGTGGTCCCTAAATACAGGCGATTTTCTTACCCAGGGTCATTTGACTTTACAGTGAAACCTGTCTAAGACAACCGCTCAAGGGACCTTGAAAATGTGGTCTCTGTAACCAGGTGGTCTCCTTATCCAGGGTCATTTGACTGGAAATAGCATCTCTTGATCATGTTGCAGTAGTCTTCAGGGACAGGTGGTCGCCTTATCCGACTGGTCGCCTCGACAGGTTTTACTGTAAATGATTCCCTCGGTCCTAGTTATTCATGTAGTGGTCCTCTAAGACAGGTGGTCGCATTATCCGAGTGGTCGCCTTGATGTGTTTCACTGTAAGCGAACGCAGGCCGAAGTTGCATTGAACTGCACGGAAACATGCTGTTTGCCTCATGAGCTTATGCTTGAGGCTAGAGTGTGCAGCATTGCCCAGAGCGTACAAGTGCCGGTGGGTTGCTGGTGCGACTCATTTCTCGGAAATACGTCATGTTCATGATGTAACTAGCTCCGTGTATGCAGTCAAGATGCGAAGTTGAGCGCGAGAAATACGCATCTGTGTGCGGTGAAGACCATCACATCTACCTGCAATAGAAGGCCAAGAAGACGCTGCTAAGCAAAACTCTGCAGATCCCAATCACTGGCACTGGCTGCACTTGTATTTCTACAGTGCCTGCACAACAGTTTCAACAGTTTCAACAGTTTCAAGTCTTCTTGAGAACTCTATGTGTACACTAGCATCACACACATGGTCCAATCACACACATGGTCCAATCACACACATGGTCCAATCACACACATGGTCCAATCACACACATGGTCCAACACACACATAGTCCAATCACACACATGGTCCAATCACACACATGGTCCAATCACACACATGGTCCAATCACACACATGGTCCAATCACACACTTGGTCCAATCACACACATGGTCCAATCACACACACATGGTCCAATCACACACATGGTCCAATCACACACATGGTCCAACAGGACACACGCTGCGCATGTACTCCACCGCAAGTTGGCCCGGCATGTGCTATCAAGTATCAACTATGTGACCCCTTCAGCCTGTTTTTCATGCTGACTATCGCCGGACTTGATGCATCTCTCAGTACATGTACTGCATGTAGTAGTGACGGCAACCCTGGCATGCTCTTTACTGTTGTATGCTGTTGTTTGAACTGTTTGAACTGTTTGAACTGTTGTTTGCACTGTTCCTGTGTTTGCTGTGTTTGAACTGTTTGCCATGAAGTATGAGTATACGGTTCCCGTGGATCACAGGAATGCGGTTGAGGAAGTGAGGCAGCTGCAGGGCTGCAAGCACCCGAGCATGTGTGAGATCCGTCACGTGTTCATGACGCGATATTTCCAAGAATGGGTAAGCCGTTGAAGCCTGCGTGCTCCTCTCCATGCTCCTCTCCCATGCTCCTCTCCCATGCTGATATCCCAACTGTACTACTTGGAAATGCTGATTGCTTTTCTACTAAAGTACTAGTCTGCTAGGGCACCGACTTATTGTGTTTTTGTTGTGTGATGTGCGGGCTCTCAAAGAATATGCAATGTCTGCAGCGTGTGGAGTACAAATATCACATTATTTACTAGGGTCAACAACGGCAAACAGGTTTTACTCCGTGGCTTGGCCGGGTCTAGTGGTCCTTTATCATGCTGTTGACATATTGATGTGTATTTACTAGTACATGTACCAGTCCAAGCGGCACCCAGGACTGCTATGGTGTATATACGGTGTGTGGATATGATGTACACAATGTATATGACGTGTACGGTGTATACATCGTATAATAATAATAATAATAATAATAATTTGAAACTCGGATGTTGAGCCATAAATAAATGTGGAAGAGAAAAGACATATGGATACGAGTTAAGAGTAACTCTCCATCACTGTAACATGATACTATATACAGTCAGAAAGTGCAATAACTAGGCACAAAACTGACAGAGTACTGAAACATTCGACGTCCTGACACCTAGCTTTAACACATCTCCGTAGCGCTAACCGACAGCCTTCCAACTTGGAAGGTTCAAGGTTATGGAAAAGACCAAAGAGGGGAAGGCAAGCGCAACGAAAACGAGCAAAAGCCACAGTCCCAACGGAACAAAGAATGTCGATTGTTACTGGACGATGACGAGACCAGTACGATATTTGACAAAGCGGTCTAACTACAATTCGAAGCAGCAAAGCAGCACACCACCCAACTTGGGTGGGTCATAAATATCAAAGATAAGTAAAGAAAGGGAAGCTTTGCGAAAACGAATTGTACAAGCCGAAAGCCAAACTCCTACAGTACTCCTCATGCATGACATTGTGATGGACTAGTTGACTACAAAACAAGTTGTTTCACACGACGTACGTTTCGCCGTATGGTTCGTGACGGCTCATCAGGTGTGCAATTTGAAACTCGGATGTTGAGCCATAAATAAATGTGGAAGAGAAAAGACATATGGATACGAGTTAAGAGTAACTCTCCATCACTGTAACATGATACTATATACAGTCAGAAAGTGCAATAACTAGGCACAAAACTGACAGAGTACTGAAACATTCGACGTCCTGACACCTAGCTTTAACACATCTCCGTAGCGCTAACCGACAGCCTTCCAACTTGGAAGGTTCAAGGTTATGGAAAAGACCAAAGAGGGGAAGGCAAGCGCAACGAAAACGAGCAAAAGCCACAGTCCCAACGGAACAAAGAATGTCGATTGTTACTGGACGATGACGAGACCAGTACGATATTTGACAAAGCGGTCTAACTACAATTCGAAGCAGCAAAGCAGCACACCACCCAACTTGGGTGGGTCATAAATATCAAAGATAAGTAAAGAAAGGGAAGCTTTGCGAAAACGAATTGTACAAGCCGAAAGCCAAACTCCTACAGTACTCCTCATGCATGACATTGTGATGGACTAGTTGACTACAAAACAAGTTGTTTCACACGACGTACGTTTCGCCGTATGGTTCGTGACGGCTCATCAGGTGTGCAATTTGAAACTCGGATGTTGAGCCATAAATAAATGTGGAAGAGAAAAGACATATGGATACGAGTTAAGAGTAACTCTCCATCACTGTAACATGATACTATATACAGTCAGAAAGTGCAATAACTAGGCACAAAACTGACAGAGTACTGAAACATTCGACGTCCTGACACCTAGCTTTAACACATCTCCGTAGCGCTAACCGACAGCCTTCCAACTTGGAAGGTTCAAGGTTATGGAAAAGACCAAAGAGGGGAAGGCAAGCGCAACGAAAACGAGCAAAAGCCACAGTCCCAACGGAACAAAGAATGTCGATTGTTACTGGACGATGACGAGACCAGTACGATATTTGACAAAGCGGTCTAACTACAATTCGAAGCAGCAAAGCAGCACACCACCCAACTTGGGTGGGTCATAAATATCAAAGATAAGTAAAGAAAGGGAAGCTTTGCGAAAACGAATTGTACAAGCCGAAAGCCAAACTCCTACAGTACTCCTCATGCATGACATTGTGATGGACTAGTTGACTACAAAACAAGTTGTTTCACACGACGTACGTTTCGCCGTATGGTTCGTGACGGCTCATCAGGTGTGCAATTTGAAACTCGGATGTTGAGCCATAAATAAATGTGGAAGAGAAAAGACATATGGATACGAGTTAAGAGTAACTCTCCATCACTGTAACATGATACTATATACAGTCAGAAAGTGCAATAACTAGGCACAAAACTGACAGAGTACTGAAACATTCGACGTCCTGACACCTAGCTTTAACACATCTCCGTAGCGCTAACCGACAGCCTTCCAACTTGGAAGGTTCAAGGTTATGGAAAAGACCAAAGAGGGGAAGGCAAGCGCAACGAAAACGAGCAAAAGCCACAGTCCCAACGGAACAAAGAATGTCGATTGTTACTGGACGATGACGAGACCAGTACGATATTTGACAAAGCGGTCTAACTACAATTCGAAGCAGCAAAGCAGCACACCACCCAACTTGGGTGGGTCATAAATATCAAAGATAAGTAAAGAAAGGGAAGCTTTGCGAAAACGAATTGTACAAGCCGAAAGCCAAACTCCTACAGTACTCCTCATGCATGACATTGTGATGGACTAGTTGACTACAAAACAAGTTGTTTCACACGACGTACGTTTCGCCGTATGGTTCGTGACGGCTCATCAGGTGTGCAATTTGAAACTCGGATGTTGAGCCATAAATAAATGTGGAAGAGAAAAGACATATGGATACGAGTTAAGAGTAACTCTCCATCACTGTAACATGATACTATATACAGTCAGAAAGTGCAATAACTAGGCACAAAACTGACAGAGTACTGAAACATTCGACGTCCTGACACCTAGCTTTAACACATCTCCGTAGCGCTAACCGACAGCCTTCCAACTTGGAAGGTTCAAGGTTATGGAAAAGACCAAAGAGGGGAAGGCAAGCGCAACGAAAACGACTTGTACAATTCGTTTTCGCAAAGCTTCCCTTTCTTTACTTATCTTTGATATTTATGACCCACCTAAGTTGGGTGGTGTGCTGCTTTGCTGCTTCGAATTGTAGTTAGACCGCTTTGTCAAATATCGTACTGGTCTCGTCATCGTCCAGTAACAATCGACATTCTTTGTTCCGTTGGGACTGTGGCTTTTGCTCGTTTTCGTTGCGCTTGCCTTCCCCTCTTTGGTCTTTTCCATAACCTTGAACCTTCCAAGTTGGAAGGCTGTCGGTTAGCGCTACGGAGATGTGTTAAAGCTAGGTGTCAGGACGTCGAATGTTTCAGTACTCTGTCAGTTTTGTGCCTAGTTATTGCACTTTCTGACTGTATATAGTATCATGTTACAGTGATGGAGAGTTACTCTTAACTCGTATCCATATGTCTTTTCTCTTCCACAATAATAATAATAATAATAATAACAGCTCGCATGTACCCCATGGGTGAGATCACCCATGGGGCTAACGCATCTGTCGGCAAAAGAGTTGAAAACGAGAAACACATGACATACACACCTTCTTCATTCTGTTATTGCAGGGAAAAACTACCTCGATTCCACCATGAGCCTAGGCATGAGGAATACAATATTAAGTACAGAATGTTATTTACCAAAAGGATATTCAAGTAAGCGCAGATATTTTTTTAGCATGATAAGTTAGTACATTGATTCACAATGCCGAGCCAAGCTTCCCTGTCTTGGGAAATAGTTTCCGCTTCGGCAATGGAAACGTTTATTGTCTTTAAGTCATTCTTGATGTTGTCGATCCATCTGGTGACGGGGCGTCCCCTGGGCTTCTTGATGTCTTTTGTGTCGATTGAAAGTCTTAGAGCTTTGTAGGATGTCGAGTCACTGCCTTCTCTGATTACATGGCCGAACCATAACAAGCGCCGTTCCCTGCATGTTCTGGTGATAGGCAATCGGTTGGACAGCTTGTATAAGTTTTTATTCGATATTTTTTGGGGATACACTACGCCGAGAATGGATCGTAGTTTGCGGCGATGCCACGTGTCGAGCCTGTTGCCGAGTGCTGCTGTCAAGGTCCACAGGCCACAGTTGTATAGTAGAACCGGAAGGATAAGAGTGGTCAACATAAGCATTCTAGATAATAAAGTGTGTCTCTTCCAGGCTATAGTGCCAAACGCTCGGTTAGCGGCATTGATACGGTTCTCGATGTCACTTCCAGATCCCAAGAGACTTCCAAGTAGTTTCGTCTTTCTCCATGCGTCATCATCCTTGGAAGGAGTTACAAATTGAGTTTTTGTTAGATTTAATCTCAGGTCATCCTGGGCGAAAATTGGCTCACATTTCGCTGCAGCGGCCACCACAGCATCACGATCAGTGTCATGTATTGTGGTGTCATCTGCATACTGTGAGAAATGAGTAGGCAGGCATGAAGGGGAGGTGCAGGCTGCTCTCACCTGCCTCATCGCACCTTCTGCGTAGACAATGAACATGGCCGGAGACATCGGGTCCCCCTGAACCACGCCGATATTGGTCGAGAAGGGAGCACTGAGCTGCCCAGCAATCTTCACCCTAGCTGTCGTATCGGAGACTAGCAATTTCATCATTGAGGTGGGTGCACCCGAATCGGCCATTCGATCGAGCGCCTTGCCACGGTTCACTGTGTCGAATGCACCGCTGAAATCGAGTAATGCTGCCGAATAGTTCCAATTTCCGAGCAAAGCTCTCTCACACAGAGACCGCACACAGAACACCCCATCAGCTGTTGAGCGACCTGGTCTGAAACCGGCTTGTGACTCATCCACAAACTGCTGAATATTGGTGCTAATTCTCTTTGTGATTATGGTTGTAAGGACTTTCCGAACCACTGACAATAGCATTACTGGTCTGTAACTCTTCGGGGCTCCTTTCGGTTTGCCATTTTTGTATATTGGCACAATAATTCCAGTAGTCAGGTGTGCCGGGCAGTGCTGTAATTGGCGAATGACATTGAAAAATGAGGACAGCCAACCAGCTAGAATGTCAGAACCTGCACGCAGCACCTCACTGCTAATTCCATCCTGACCGACTGCTCCGCCTACGTTTTGCTTCTGTATCGCTGCACGAACGTCTTCTGTTGAGAAAGGCTCATCATTCCTGACACCAGTCGCTGGCTGATGAACCGGTTTGCACGGCATGCTGGAATCGTAGAAAATTGATGAATAATATTCACAAAATTTCTGGAGGTTCCAACCAATGTCTGGGATGATCCTTCCATCAGCATCAGCCAGTTGGATGGGTGGTGTATTGTCACCCGCTCTCAGTTTGCGTAGGTTGTTAACTGCCTGGAAGTAAGACCTTGGGTCAGGCCTAAGTGCATCGGCGTCATTTGCCCGCTTTTGCCAGAGGAAGTCGCCTTCCTTCCGCAGGACGGAGCGCATTTCATGGAGAAGTTTCGATCTTTGAGTTTGCAAAGACGACCGCTTATCGATGTCTGTTGTAGCTTGAATTTGTATGTGCAATTCCTTCTGCTGCTTGGAAAGCTTGGCCACAATAGGGTTGGTACTTCTAACTGCCTTCTGTCCAGATGGTCTTATTCCAAAAGACTGTTTGGCTGCTGAGTGGACTGTTGACACAAACTCTCCCCATGTTGCATCTGCTTTCGAGCATGTCATGTCAGCGGCTTTGAATTCTGGTACGGAGTCCAGCAGCAGTTCCCGAAACCTGCCAGCAGTTTCTGTTGATGGTGAATTGTACTTGATGAAGCAAGGCTCGGATGATTTCTTCCCAGCACGAACCGTATGAAAGGAGAGCTGGAAATCGACAATCACTGGCCGGTGATCCGAGCGCGTCACAAACCCACCATATGACCTTGCATTTGTTATTGAGCAAAAGTTTCTTTTCCTGATGATTACATAATCTATCATGTTCCTCACTGGTTCTCCGTTGGATCGGGTCAGTCCGTCCGCGAACCAAGTAGCTCTGTGATGGAGGCGGTGTTTGAATAGGGTGTTGCATAGCACTAATTGGTGGTCCTCGCAAAACTCAAGAAGCCGCTCTCCATTTGAATTTGATACTAAGTGCTTGGCATAGCTACCAACGGGGCCCTGGGTCCCGTTTCTTGAGCTGGCAATTTTTGCATTCATATCTCCCAACACCCAAACTTCATCTCGCTGCTTGGGTACGTCTTTCACAATACTACTCAATAGCGAATAGAAGTTCTCTGCCTCTGCGGGGTTTGACGTGGAACTCAGCAGAGTCGGCGCATAGCAGCATATCACTGTGATGGACCTGCTGTCACGGCGCGAGCAGAGCTTGATTCTGATTGACACGACTCGTTCCGAGTGGCACTGATACGAGGCAACATTGTTTACAATTCTCTTATTTACCAGAATTCCGACACCTGCCCGAGACGACGTCCCCCCTGCGCGATACAGGGTATGGCCGTTGTCTAGAACGTCGACTCCATCACCATTCAGCCATGTCTCGGTAAGACCAAGCACGTCGAGACGATACCGTTCAAAATCCTGGATAATATTGACTTTTTTTATTTGACTTCGGAGCGAGCGAACATTGTACGTTCCTGCTCTACACGAAGGTGCCGTTTGGCCTCGGCTCACAAAAACCGAAGCAGCTTTCCCTACTCTGTCTAACTGTATTCTCATTTCCAGTCTCTTCTACCCGCGGAACAGGAAAACCCTCGCCGAAGCGAGAGCTGACGGGAGTTCAGACCGCCATCCAACATGTATACGGTGTGTGTATATGGTGTATTATGTTCCGCAGGCACGGCCGATGCGGTCGCACATTGTCATGGATTACTGCCCTGGAGGTCAGCATGCCTGTGAACTCAGTTTTTACTGTGCTGTTGTTCTAGTGTTGGTAATGTTCTCTGCACTGGATGCACTGTCTGACATGTATCCGTGTCCAGGTTGTCATTCCCTCAGTCATCAGCTTTGTATGTTTGTATCGCCGCGGGGTCTTGCAGAGCCTGTAACATGTCCGCTTGGTCCTCTCAATGCAATTGTCACATCTTTACCACATGACAGTCCTGTGTGCATGTGTGTGTGTGTGGGCTGGCGGGCGCTTGAATCATCAAAGTTGTTCTCGGTTCTGGAGTCATTCATATCCAAATAGCAGCATGCTTTGACAACCAATTTCCATACCCACATGGTTATATGAACACTAATGTATGCAGGAATATTAGCAAAAAAAAGGTAGGCCCAAGAGGGGATCGAACCCTCGATCTTCGGTTTACAAGACCGACGCCTTACCACTTGGCCATTGAGCCTTGCTCTATAACGGGGCCAAAAGTTGAGCCGAACTATGTGTTTAGTAGTAGTCAAAACACAACTCCCTGGTCAGTGCCAACTAGAGTATGCGTACCAGAGTGTGTTACTACACTGTAAGTGGGTGTTTGGGAAAGCATATTTAAGACATCATTTTTGATGGGTCGGGGAAACTGTGATCTGGGAATGCAGTCTTGCATTGCATCAAAAATGAAGAGCCGCTTGACAAATTGTGCTGTACTGATCCACACCGGAAGCTGCACGCTCTATTTTATACACCACGCATGATATTAATTTTGAGGGTCAGCAAATGGGAGTCTGACGTCGTGTATATATATTTAGGAAGTCGCGCTCATGCACAGATCAGTCTCGTAGTACATGCTGTGCTACGCTCAGTACCTCGCCTAGTACTGTACTAGGCATGATACAAAGCAAGTAGGCATGGTACTAGGGTCGTACAACCATTGAGTGTACAGTAAAACCTGTGACTAACGGCCACCCCTTGGGGCCAGAGAAAGCGGTCTTTAATGGCAGGTGGTCCTTAGTTAGAGGCTTGCACCGCACAACCATAATGAATGGGAGACCGTCCGTGCCTGGCGAAGTGGTCTGTAGTACCAGGCTGGTTGCTAGTCACGGTGGTCTTTAGTTACAGGTTGCTAGTCACGGTGGTCTTTAGTTACAGGTTGCTAGTCACGGTGGCCTTTAGTTACAGGTTGCTAGTCACGGTGGTCTTTAGTTACAGGTTGCTAGTCACGGTGGTCTTTAGTTACAGGTTGCTAGTCACGGTGGTCTTTAGTTTCAGGTTGCTAGTCACGGTGGTCTTTAGCTACAGGTTGCTAGTCACGGTGGTCTTTAGTTACAGGTTGCTAGTCACGGTGGTCCTTAGTTACAGGTTGCTGTATTCATGAGGTCAGTTTCACTTACCAGCATCCCCACAAGTCCTTCCGTGAGCTGCAGGGATTTTCTTGACGTCGAGAGCAAAAAGGACTGAACCCCTATCCGGTGGCGTGCACACGTCACACTTGTACCTAGCACGACGATTTCCAGGAACTTGTACGTGCTGCCAATACGTTCGATAACTCGGTTTTATGAGAGCCTCTAAAATGCGACGAGGCCACTGGACTTAACTTTTTCTTTCATATTGTTTCGTTGATGATACTGCTATTTCTGTTGCTGTTATATCTCTACCGCCGCCCACTGGTCTTGGCATGTTGCTGCAACAGGCAATATGGATGAGCTACTGAGGAAGTGCAGAGGATGGAACACGCCCGTGGAATACACGGTATGGCTAGCTGTGTTGGTAAAATTAATACTTATAATGCAGGCATCGTCGCAACAGCCTCCCAAAGAAATTACATTTGTGTTCAGAAGAAAATGCCAATCATAACCACCCTCCAAGCCCTGAAGTACAGAACTGCACTGCATATGCACGGTGTGTATCCACAGATGAAATCACAGGTGATAGTAACACATCAACCGCTCGTCATTTCTTGTGCTGCGTGCAGGGCCCTATGGGGCATTTTGACTGCCCAAATAGAGTTTTGTGACGCCGTTTCAGTTGTCCTATCCTGTATCATGCTATCCTTGCACCCATTCACGACATAGTCCTTCCCTTGTCTGTCGCCATGTATAGACAGTATATGATCTCGCACTACCCCCCCCCCGGCTACGCACGATACCATGCTCCGCTGAGCATGGCATCCCTGACTCTTCACTATATCTACACTCACCTGTCTGTAAAATAAACCACTTCTTTATGTCAGTACATGACACAACAGCAGTTAACTAAAAGGAGAATATTGGCAGGTAGATAAAGACAAAATTCCACCATTGATATTCATGCTTTGATGTGATTGCTGATACAGCTGCTGCGCAAGTGGATGGGGCAAATATTTGATGCAATGCTTTATTCCCATGACAGGGGCATAAGTCACAGGTATGTTGACTTGTGCAGTTGGTGATGGGTGCATGATATACCGCATCAGTATGCATCTGCTCCACGGTCCATGCATGCATATGGTGCACGACTATACATGTTTACCTGGCAGCAATGTATTTATGATATCAAGAGTACATAACCCCCAAGACGGTGTGCAACTGCCTGTCCGACCTCTGTACAGTGCTGCGACGGCAGAACTTCACATCACGTGACATGGTTAAAAAAAGGTTACTCTGGCCAACTGTGCTGTATCTATCATACACGGGGTGCAAACAATGTGCATGGGTATGTCTCGTGATGTCAAGTTCTGCCGTCGCAGACCCCATAGCAGGAGAGGCACACTCTTGGGGGTTATGCACTCTTGAAAATGTTCTCTTACAGTTTGCTGTGCTCTACACATTCCTCAGTGAATGTATATAATGTATCTGGAAATACAAGCGAAATCATTGTGTAACCTCCCTTTTCCTTCTCTCCTCCTCATAATCCTCCTCATCTTCAGATCTTACATTCGCTGCGCTCGCGCAGACAAAAGGAATGTGTGTGCATGTGTGAATCCTTTGCTCGTGACTTTGTGCTGATCAATGACAGGGATCTCCGACTAAACAACCTGCTGCTGACTAAGGAACTTAACATAAAGATATGTAAGTAGCTTCAAAACAATTGCGGGTAACCTCGGAAAGCCCCTGGGTGGTCAGTCAACAGGTCACCAATTGTGGTTTTTCAAAACCGAAACTTAAGTTACTTTCCAGCCCCTGTTCACCCACCCTCCGTTTCTGCAGTTATAGTGAATCTCAACAACTTCAATCTTTGGCTCCCAGCTGTAGTGTAATGAGTAGCATCATGACAGAACTCTATCCCTAGGCGTATCATTGACATTGTCTGTCTCCAGGTTTCTCCTTCCTACTCCCTACACTCACTCGCATTGATCTAACGTGTGTACCTGTATAAGAACCGCACCCTGCCTGCTGTACCATTGACTCATGCATTCATGTACCGCTGGACTTGCTGGCTGCGCATCACTAACCCTTCCCCTTCTATGGCACAGTCCCCCGCACTGAATGCAGTACTCGGGTGCGAGTGCGTATTCATGTCTGAGTGCACTGCCCTCGGGCTCCATCTATACATGGCATCCCGTACTGGGTACGCTGCTTCCGGTCGCTGTTGTGTGCACTCAGCACCGCAATCTATTCCTCTCTCTGTCTTCTTTACACAGTGATTCCCGATTGGAATCACTCTTCCTTTCTGCTCTCCTTGAAGTAGTTAGTTGTGCTTTTCCGTGTCTGATAATGTTCCCCCTTTTGCAATAAAGATTCAGGCGAAACTTCTCTAAGTAGCTACCTCTACACCAGCAGTAGCTGATAAGTCTTGTTTTCTTGGGATTAAAGCACAATCTTGTGTTGTCTCATATTCTAGCTCAGTGACGTGTCTGCTTTTGCAACAATATGCGTGTTTGCTAGTGTCTGTTGTCTGCGGTAGACTTATGGTATGATTTTGCACATCTGGACAATCATTTCCCTCGTCTATAGGTGACTTTGGTGTGCAGACTTTGCTACGTGTGGATGGTTTGTGTATGCAGCCTAAGCCAGGTAAGTCAAAGTGTACTAGTGATTGTAGGGTTCTTTGAGCTCTGTCGGGGATTTCCTTTGTGTGTCCGTATGCCTACGTTAGTAACGTACAGCCCTGGCCAAAGAAATCCAACCTCATGAATAAAATAGCGTTGCTGGGCGCTACACAGCCCTAGCACCACACATACTGGTCTGTGCACTCGGACACAGCGCTACTTTATTCATGAGGTTGGATTTCTCTGCGGCCAGAACTGTATGTGTACTGAGTAGCCTGGTGATCAGGTAGAACTACAACACACCGAACACCGACTATGCCACTCACAAAGTGTAAAGCTATTAAAAGCTTTCAATGAAAATTAGCTCACATCAGCTGTGTTGTGCCGAGAACATGAGAAGCCCAGTGTGCGGCAGCAACACCCATTTCTCCTTTTACAAACCTTCAGCTCCTGCTGCTTATCTGATTGCGGAACTGTGCTGGGCCATTGTTTTGTGTTTTCTGCAGACCAGTTTCCGTGGGTTGCTCCGGAGGTGTGGAAGACAGGGTATCCTCCTCTTGTTTGTGGATTGCATTGGTGTGCCCTAGTCTGTTATGTAGCTGGTTAACCCATTGAACGCTGATGACGTCTATAGACGTCATCAGCGTTCAATGGGTTGCATATTGTTACAAAAGCAGAGATTTATAATGCGTATTTCACGCAATTTGAGCAAACTTGCGTCCCCTATTGTGAGGCGCTATTCTTTTTGGGGACTGTATCGATTCTGTCACCCTGTAGTTGATAGTCTTGGCAATCATTTCCAAAATATTTGAGAACCCCAGTTGCCAGAACCCTGGAGTTTTAGAACTTGCTATTGGCCCTGTTTTTAGCATTTTATATGCAGAGTACCATAGGCAAGGCCCAGTAGCGCTGAATGGGTTAACTTAGGCCAACATCCATCTATATATGTACATCCCACCTGCTCCATTCCACACACATGTATCACCCACTCATTCATCAGCAACCCCTCCCGGGTCCCTCACCGAGCTTTGCCTTCCATCTATACGTGCGTACTTGGTCCCGGGCATCACTGGCACGTGTGGCCTTCCCCCGTAAAATATGTGTTCTCCTGAACTATTGATGATGCTCTCCTGCATGTGTAAGGAAAACTACTGGTCATAATAGTAATAATAACTTTATTAGGATGACCCAACAGCCTTGCCTATCGTGGGGTCCGTCGCATTCATACATTTACACTGGTCAAGGGTGAGCGTATACCTTTGTCTAGTCTTCCATCCGTTATTTACAAAATACTTGTACACTCACCCCTAGGCACCTGGTCACACCACCTTGGTCGCACTGCCCTGGCAACGCTGCCCTGGCAACGCTGCCCTGGCAACACTGCCCTGGCAACACTGCTCCGACCACACTGCCCCGACAGTCACAGTGAGTCAGAAATACAGCACCAGCTTCTAGAACAGAGGAAGTTTCCATCAAAGATCTAGCATGGTGGGAACTGCTTGCATCAGGCTCTGCACGGTGATGTAAACACGGGAAATTCGGCTGTGCCAACGATGGTGCTGCACTTCTGATTTATGTTGCATCATTAGCAGCCCTTATTATGGTACAGGTGGTATCCTTGACTAGAATGCGCTGCGTGGTGGTGATCTTGGTGGTGAACAGGTTTAGCAAGGAGAGTGACATCTGGTCTGTTGGATGTATCCTCTTGGCTATATCATCTTGTGCATTTCTCAAACAGGTAACTCTAGTTATTCTGTAGAGCAATGATGTCATCATCTTTATTTGATCCTTCTGTTTATACTGAGCAATGATGTCATCATCTTTATTTCATCCTTCTGTTTATAGTAGTTGAACAGGTCTTGTAATGGGTCCACATGTCGCCTATCGCATGAAAGAAGAAAAGAGACACCCAATGAGGCGTACATTTGCTGCTGTGAAGTGTTTTCAGTGGACTATTAGTCCTAGCACCATGCGGTCTTGCAGTCTCCGCTTCAAGATACTCTCATACGATTAAACCTCATGGCGGGTCCCCAGTTCCAACTTGATTCCGGGATTGGGACGCGTTTGGAAGGATCCCTCCACTTCCAAGTGGGACTTGAGCTTGGTAGTTTCTGTTTCTTGCCACGATCATGGTCTTGCACAACCCCTCTATACCTCCTGCCTATGCATACCATTTTTGGCCAGGACAGACTGGAAGTAATCAGTTAAACCTTACTGAAGTAAACCATGCGGCCAGTGGGGTTTCCCGGCACTTGTGCCAGTGGTTGTGAGACTTATCCACTCACCTCCACCGTTAGGCGCTGCATCTGCCGCTAGGGTTTACCGGGTGTTAGCGGCCGCCATGAGCTCCCTTCAGGAACGGACACGATAATTTACTTTACTTTTTTCAAAGTAAACCATTCCTGAGCGTGCTACCTACCCGGCGGCAGGGTACTTGGCATCCAGGATTGCTAGTGCTAAATAGCTTATTTGAAATATTGTAAGAGTGGAAGCTATTCCTTCTCTCCCCTGTACTGGAGAAATGAAATACGAGTGTGTGATGGCAGGGAACGCTGTGCCCACTAGGTGGAAGCACTTGCAAATTGTTAAAATCTTAACTCATTAAACTTGTTTAAACTCTCACTGTTCACGCACTAACTCACTGCTCGCGATCATGGTGTCCGGGTAATATCTGTTTTTTTCTAGAGTCAGATCAACAGCGCACTGATCTTGATCAAGACACGGAAAGATGTATTGGACGAGATAATGGACTGTATTATAGAGGTGAGTGGAGCAAAAGTGATGCCATCAAACATGACTGGGTAATCAAACATGACTGGGTAATCAAAAATGACACAACTTCTTATTAATCCAGTGTTCCATAGATTTATGTAGCTGATGGTGGATGGATTGTGAATGGACCGCAATGACACCCAGGATATGTCACCACATACACTGACTGTGAGGCGCGTGCACTGTCATTCTGTTTCACTGTCGAACCCTATTTTCCCAGATGTTCTCAGAACCTTCTTATGACCTTACTCTCCCGAAGCTGGCCGGGTAGATCGCGTCACATTGCATTTCAAGGAAACAAACTTTAAATGAGTACTGATATTCAGCCACAACCATGCACATTGCTGAAGGACTGGACTGAGTTGTGCTGCTCATACTGCAGTAAAACCTGTAACTAAAGACCACCGTGACTAGCGACCAGCCTGCTACTACAGACCACTTTGCCAGGCACGGGCGGTCTCACATTCATATACTGTACGGCTGTGCGGTGCAAACCTCTAACTAAGGACCACCTGCCACTAAAGACCGCTTTCTCTGGCCCCAAGGGGTAGTCATTAGTTACAGGTTTGACTGTACAGCTATGTTTTCCGACTCCAGATTCAAAGATTCAATTGCAGTTCATCTAGTCTCATCCTTCCTTTCTTGTGTTCCTTCACATTCAATGTGGGCATTGTTCCACTCCACAGATTGAACTATTTATCCAGATTGGGGGCCGTGGAAGGAAGGGCTGGGTGGACGGAAGGGTTGAGTGGCCGGGAAGGGTTGGGTGGACAGAAGGGTTGGGTGGAAGGAATGGTTGGGTGGACAGAAGGGTTGGGTGGATGGAAGGGGGGGGGGGGGAGGCAACATGACTGGACCTAACTTGCGGGCTTCTAGCCAGGAAAAATGGTAAGGGGGCAGGGAACAAACATTTCACCTTTTTCCATTTACCAAAATTGCTCTGTCGCACAAAATGCAGCAACGTGAGGTTGCAGCGCGAACCCTGAACGATCGATTTGCGGCCGCAGCTTCGTCGCAACATCGGCTGCTCTGTCGTCACTACCAGCGTCGGAATCCCAATCTGACTACCCGTAGAGTGATCGATCGCCGTCTAAAAGTGCTGACAACTCACCTGCAGATATATGTAGTACAGTCTGTATCGGCTATAGAGTGACCGGATATAAGAATATATCGGCTACAGTGATATTGGTACGAAATATCAAAAGCAAAACGTATTTTATCCAGTACAAATATCACTATAACCAATATTATCGGATGTAATGATATATCGGATATTATGATGGCAACAAAGAATCAAAACATGCATAACACACTATATTATTATCGGCTATAGTGATAACTTTAAAATACATGTAACAATAATATCAAAGGCCCTATTTTTTTACTTTCTTCACGTTGCTTATTTTGATAGTGACACATGTTCATGTACATAACAGAATTTTTTTATGGAAATGCGGGCACTGTCAACTATGCAGCATGCTCATTTGTCAAAACGCCATGCTGGAAGTATTTCCTTGCCTTTCATGTGTCGCTCGAAAAAAATCGATCGTATCGCATATAGTGATGCATCGGTTATAGTGATAAAATCACGGAAATCAAAAGGGTACGCTATAGCCGATACAGACTGTACAACAACAAACTCTACTGATGAGAGAGCACCTTTGTCCTTTCTCTTCCTTCCAGTCTATGATTCGTTACTAACAATGGTTTTTCCAAACATTACAAAGCACCGCAGGTTGGTGTTTGCAGATCGCGGGCCAATTATGTTCTCTGCATGTGTGGTGTTGGTGGTGCGTGTGCGCATGCATGCATGCTTGTATGTGCACGTGTGTGTGCGTCTGTGCTTGTGTTTATGCGTGTGTGCACTTGCATTATTCTGTTAGGACTACAGCGTAGAGTTAGGTGAAGTCATCTATCGTACGCTGAGCTTCAAGCCTGAAGATCGAACTCCCTTTAGGTAAGATACAGGAAACAATCGTATTGTGAGACTTGTTTGTAACGCCAATAATGACTGTGCACACACACACACATGTATACATACATGATCTTGTCACAGAGTCTTATGGTGTTTGTGCGTGTGTCGGCAGATCTATGATGCTCAACGCGTTTGTCAAGTTCAGCATGTGGCTGGGAGGGTCTCCTGTTATACCCACTGCGTCTGTAGAGCTGGGTGCTGCCGACAAGGCCACAATTCCCGTCCTATATTCTCTTACGGACTCTCTCAGTAAGGCAAGGCGCTGCACTGGTGCCAGTTGCATCTACATGTAAAATGGAATGGGATATCTCATGTCCTCAATGGGGTTTTTCCCCATGATGACTGTATTTGTGTACCAGAGCACCCAGTCCACCCACAGCAACACCGGCTTCTGTTCAAAGCTGCTTTCATCCCAGAAGGCTGAACTAATATTGACAACAGAACTTCCGCTTCACCGGCAATGCTTCCATCACCCCCCCCCCCCCACACACACACACACGCATATTCATTCATGTCCCGCTGCACAGCGACCTTGGCCAATTCTCTTGTGACGTTGTTCTTGTTCAGAGTATCTCCACGGTGAAAATGCTTCAGACCAACCGTGTGTGGTAAGTAGCACACCAGTACATTACCATGAAGTACTGCGAGATTGAGCAGGCGCTTTCTTCCTGCTGAAAATTTGGGCTTACAGCTATGCTATCAATTCTTTTATATTAAGCATACCACATGCATGGTATGAGTGATAAGAGATCCTCACTGTCACGTAGTGCTTGGTGGGTGTCCTCAGGAAACTCCCATTGCTTCTCAAGGTTGCGTGCTTCTGCTCTTGTCAGGAAGTCCTCACTGACTCGTTTACACTCATCTTCATCATGGTGTTTGTGTGTGTGTGTGTGTGTGTGTGTGTGTGTGTGTGTGTGTGTGTGTGTGTTTGTGTGTGCTGGCTGCATCAGATAACAGCATTGGTACGCATCAATGTGATACTGCAGAATGACTACGATGCTGGACGTGGTAAGTATAATTATGATCAAGACCGGTGGGAGGCAGCCCGGGGTACCAGACCTGTACAGAAAAGCACTATGACGTTACTTGCTAGCCTCTTCCGGGATGCAAGTTATATTTTGGGTACCTTCCACATGCCAACCAAAACATTTTACCTTGGGTATGCAGTGCCTTGGCTTCTGTGGCAAGATAGTCGAGGGTATCATGGCCCCTAGAGGCTTGTAGTGATGAACTATCACCGTACTACGGCTTCATGGACTGGGGCTCTTTTTCAAACCGGAGGGATAATTAAGCACCAGGACGAGAAAGTGCCATGTCCTCCCATCCTTCTTGGGCTAGACCCATAGGCTAGAGTGCTGCACGCATTCAATAGCTATCGCAGTCGTTACCGTAGTTAACCCTTTACCGGCAAGTTACTTTTGTATATGAAATCTTTAACATTTAGAACGATACCAATAACTCACAACGAGGCCACATTTTGTATGTGCAAGTTATGTTTTCTTGGAAGTCTAGTACTACTTCTTGACCATGGAAAAATTTATTTTCTCATACCACACACATACGCTGCTAAATTGGCACCTCTACGTCTAAACACGGAAATTGTACACATGCAAATCGTCAGAGTTCCGACATTGACATGATACTGCCAAAACAAGTCGACTTCGGAGCGGAAACAAACGCCATAGCCATCACAAACTTCAGTGGCCATGCCTCGCTCGCAAATGAGAGCAGCATCGCCCCAGAATCGCTGTCGGAAAGCTCCGTAAGGTCGCACGCAAGCCGCGCTGCGCTGCCGTCACTCAGGTACGTAGAAAGTCGATGGGCTAAAATTCCGTCTCTGGGAGACTGTCGACACAGGGATCGCTCTCCATGGCTTCCCCACCATAAGCACCATCAGATTCTTCCAGGTACATCACGACGACATCGTCTTCAGCGGCTGGCGCTCCCCATATTTGCGTGAGAATTTACTTGGCGGGCGCACCGCTCCGTAATTTGAAATTCGCTTGCATCGGAGGCTGGAACGAAGTATTTATCTATCTGTCGTCGGTCCCAGAGCGAATGACTGCTAGGTCGTCGTCGGAGAAGTCATCCGAGGACGAAAGGAACTCACTGTGCAAGAGAAAATGCACCTGACGATGTTTTGACGGAGGCGGACGGCATTGTCGGCGCGCGTGTATTACCGTAAGTTTTCGATCGCGCAGTTCTCAATGAAATCAAATAGGACACGCGTGTATCTCTTCAGCTACCGATAGGATCAGGCCTAGGCTGTTTGAGGGCCACGGGAAATCCCCGTGGGCTGATGCTTCCCGTCATGCCAGGCATGGTTTTGTATGCCTGTCGAATGCGTCAACGTTGACGCATTCAAGTATGGGGCTGCCGGTAAAGGGTTAACAACATGATGGACCCATGTCGGGCTGTGTATGTGTGTGTGTGTGTGTGCGTGTGCGTGTGCGTGTGCGTGTGTGTGCGTGTGCGTGTGCGTGCATGTGTGCGTGCATGTGTGCGTTATGCTTGGTATAACGGTGAGTGTCTTTTCAATGATCACAGTGGCAACAGCTATGTCACTACATGTGTCATGTATTGTTCTACTCTGCATGCAACTATTCTAGTTAAATAATGCCAATAGTGCACCAAATGCTCTGTTTCCTGTAGATGCGCATGTAGACAAAATTGCGGAACACGAACTGTTGTTCGATTCCAGGAGAGACAACTGGTTGTTGATACTTCGGTACTTCTTCTGTTAATACGCCTTCTTCTCTGTATTCTGTTTTGTCCAGTTCTTCAGCTGTCGTTAGAGGACAAACAGAGTCTTCTTAAGCTAATGGTGCAAACATGGCCAAACAACGAAACCATCACAAGTCTTTGCCTGGATATCCTCAACATAATCATCAGATCTGCAGGTGAGAGTGAAAATAAACTACACTGGAATGTCATATCCAGTATCTGCTTTTGAGCAGAAAACATTTTCTTTTACTGCCATGCAGACCGCCTGCTGCTGGCCTTGTCTCTCAGCCCAAGAGCAGCACTACCGCACATCCGGTGTGAATTTCAACCGGCGCCTTGACTACTTTCCCACCACAATGTGTCTGCTTACACATGTATGTACGTCATGTCGACGCTGACCTGTTTGTTGTGTGGGCACTGTTACTGTTATTGCTGCTACCACTGCCGCCATCGTCATCGACACCAACATCACCACTACCGTCCTCACCACCATCATTACTGCCACCAACATCATCACCGCATCCATCACTGCCACCACCATCACGGCCGCCGCTGTTTCTGCTGCTGCGCTTGGCCTGAAGATCCTGCAAAGCATGATTTCGATGACATGGATGAGAAACTTCTGAGAGGAGCAGTCACTGAGATGCGGGTATGTATACCGTCAACCAACTTGCCATTTTTCTACTGTTGTAGTGTTGTTAGTTTGCGTACTTCGTGTGTACGTGGTGTTGATGCATGCGCTGTGGTGTGAAAAGCAGTCTTCGCCTTGAGTTCGTCCTGTCCAGTTGTGCTTCCGTAGTCGTCTTGTAAGAAACAGCCTTCTAAATGTACAATGTAGTTACTGTAAATATACAAATTTTCGGCAGCTACTTAATTTCGGCTATATTCGGCACCAACCCAAAACGCCTAAATTAAAACGCCGATGAAATTTTTCACAGCATCTGTCGCACTATACGGTATACCATGCCCTCTACCCCACGCCGAAAATAAATCGCCGCCGAAATTTCAAAAATCGTGAAGTGCCGAAATTTTGCAGTGCCGAAATTTTGTATATGTATTTACAGTAACCTCGTCCATTGTATAAGTGTGGAGATCAGTGGCACGGGGCTGGGAGCAGGTGGAGAAAGTATAGACGACAGTAACACTACTAAGTTACCTATGGGTTTTTTGATGCCAACATGTGTCATAGTTGGCTACTGTTCAGTGATGCGTAATTCTCTTCTGTTCTGTGATGCCATGCAGAGGTATAGGTACTCCCTGCCCGTTCAGAAATCAGTCTGTGCCTTGGTCTTGCACACAGTGCACATCCGTAAGTTACCGTGTCTTCATTTTTTTTCATTTTGAATCCACACGGTCACTTTTCTCGTGAGTCAATTGCTGTGAAACGTACAAGTGCCTGTCGTGTGAATCGCCTATAAAGCTCATTCTAGCCAGTGGAAAGTGTTGTACCCGTCCACCAACATAATCAGAGTTATTATGAGTGAGTTATCTTGGCCATATCCATATTCTGTTAAAATAGCCTGTTGGAGATCATCACTTCAGAACTGGACATAATATGTGTGCATATGTGTGGGCGGGCGGGCGTGTGTATGTGTGTGTGTGTGTGTGTGTATGTATGTACGTGTGTTTATGCGTGTGTGTGCATGTGTGTACATGCACACATGCTTACATACTTTTCAGCGGCTGTGCGTATGTGAGTGTGTGCGTGCGTACGTGTGTGTGAGAGCGTGCGTACGTGTGTGTGTGCATTTGCATGTGCATGCACTATTTCCAGCGCGCGCTCTGGACTATCTGTTAAAGGACGGTGTAGTATGGGATTTGTTGATGGCAATGGAGAACTATGTACAGGATTGGGAGATAGTAGCCAGTGTCAGTACAGCCTTCTGCACACTGGTAAAGCATGGTGAGATCAGTTAGCCGCACAGCTACGAGAACACTCATGGCCAAAGAAATCCAACCCAAGTGCCGAAAGAAGCGCCAAAACTCATGTGGATGGTATTTTTGGACCGTGTATGGTGTATATGAAATGGAAACACGGCGCTACGTTTGACTCATGGTCGGATTTCTTTGTTCAACACTGTAGTACAACCACAGCCTGTTCATAGCGGTCTAGCATAGCACAAGCAGTTTTATATTGGCATACCTGATATTGTTTTGTTCAATCCGAAGAGGCTGATTATAAGTTTGCATACCAATAAAAGTCGATTGAGCTTTATTTTTGACAGATTTCTTTGAACAACTGAACGGCCGCCTGCAGGTTCTGCTGGTCGAATCGCTCACCCCGAACACTAGTCTTGCTCTGTTCAACCAAACCTGTTTTCTGCCCATTGCACTATGTGTATTGTGCTGTGATGCATTCAGATGTCAAGTATGAAGTAATACGCAAGGGACGCCTGATCCCAACCATCTACGATGTGCTGCACATACACGAGGAAGATCCGCTGGTTTTGCGCTGCAGCATCATGGCACTGTGGGCAGTTGCATTGCTAGACCGTAAGCCACTGCTGCTGCTGCAGCAAGGCCTGTCACTGTGCTAGCTTAGGAGAGAGAGAAAGGGTGACGAGGCGTGGGTGAGTGAGAGATCAAGCGAACGAGCGAGCGAGTGTATCTATGTGTGTGCGGCATTGGGAGAGAGAGAGAGAGAGAGAGAGAGAGAGAGAGAGGGAGGGAGGGAGGGAGGGAGGGAGGGAGGGAGGGAGGGAGAGTGAGTGACTACTAAGCGGCTACTAACCGGCGACTAAGCTGCTACCAAGCAGGGGGAGAGAGAGAGAGAGAGAGAGAGAGAGAGAGAGAGAGAGAGAGAGAGAGAGAGGGGGGGGGGGGGAGAGAGAGAGAGAGAGAGAGAGAGAGAGAGAGAGAGAGAGAGAGAGAGAGGGACTACTAAGCAACACATGGTACATGACTGTTATCAACGGTTAACTCATATGTTAACCGAACATTTAAATGATTGTCGAATTGTGTTGTTGTTCTGCTTTTGTTTAAAACTTGTGTACCTATAATCTGGCTCCCCTGTGTCTTTGCTGCATTGCAATGTTCTCTTCATGTGTATATGCACACAGACTATGACCTGAGTGAGTTTGATAGAGAGCCTCTCGTTGAGACCGTCAGCCGCATCATGGAGGTGCACCAAGGGGTGAGCAGCACAATACTGTGATGAAGCAGTGCATGGATTGTAGGGTACTGGTGGGCACTGGCGGGTACTGGCGGGTACTGGCGGGTACTGAAGAACGGAGTGCCAAAGAACGGAGCGACGAAGAATGACCAGGCTAGGATTTCATCAAGCACAGCGTACTAATGTATACACGGTGACTCGACTGTGCATAGGCTGCAGTACATGAAAATGTGAACGTCGTCCAGCAGGCTAGGAGGCTGACCACTCCAGTTCTTCGGCGACCGACAGTACTGTGGGTGAACTCTAACTTACTACACTTAGGTGAAACGCTGTCACTTGTTCCCGGTACCACTGCATGCACCTCATAGACACAGACACGTAATCCATCAGCCCGATGAACCTCAGAGATGGGACTGCTTAGCTTGGTTGGGAAGGTGGTCAGGTTTATAAGGTTCTACTGTGCGTTCGTTATGCCATTGCGTGCCATTGGGCAAGGAGAAACTGGAGGGGAGAGGGGGGGGGGGGGGGGTCCAGAGAGTCCAATCACATGTACATGTGTGCATTTTCTTCTCCCCTTGCAATAGAGCAAAATGGGAGATGAAGAAATCTGAAAACCCGTCTAAACAATTCAAGCCCGGCAGGAAGGCACGGGAATGTTGGGATATAAGAGTCCGTGATTCATTGAGCTAATCTTGGCCAAGAATTTGGTAGAACGCTTCCTGCAGTTTCATGCCCAATGGTACGGATGGGTGGCCTTACACCAATAATGGTAGAGAAAAAGCGGGCACGCTCAACTACCGTATTTTCCGGAGTATAAGCCGCACCCCCATTTTTTTGCCACAAAATACATACATCTACCCTATTTTATCATTAATTTTATCTTAGCTTAACCCCCTTTTTGGGGGTGAATTTGAGTGTTTCAAAGTGTGGCTTATACTCCGGAAAATACAGTATTGCGATCATGTACTGTGTATTAAGGCTTACTATCTCTGCTCTTGTTTCACCATTGTACCTGCTATAGGATCCTGGCGTCTGCTCCTGTGCTGTTGGCCTGATTCATACATTGCTGGATATAACCGAGCCCCGCATGCAGCAATGTGAGCTTCGGCGTGTGTGTCTACACGAAACTCACGCGGTCTATCTGTATGTCTGTACATGTGTGTGTGTGTGTGTGTGTGTGTGTGTGTGTGTGTGTGTGTGTGTGTGTGTGTGTGTGTGTGTGTGTGTGTGTGCGCCAGCTAGTCCGGTTGGTGGGTACCGTGACTTATGCCTGATTGCGTTGGGTCTGTTGCCAACAGGCTCGGCTACTTGAAGGTGTATTGTTGTATCTGCCACCTTTGTTGGTTTCAGGTTACTTTCTATTTGAAGTATACATACCTGTTAACCATGCTTCTGGCTAGATTAACTCTTGTGTAATCAATGATGCTAGTGACGCTTAGATCAGATCCACTCTGATTTAGCCACCCACACTAGTAGCAAGTATTACCTTCACTGGGGGCAGGGGTAACTGCAGTTGGATCCCAGGACGGATACCCTGATGCCGTCAATCCTTTTTTGCACCTTGTCCTCACCCACTTACTGAGGTGTGGTGAGCCCATAAGTGGGATCATTTTCAAGTCCACCCAGAGTTTTGGGGATTTCAGGGGGTGTCGGCCGTTGGGCGGTTCAATAGCCAGTTGAGTCATCTTTCCAAGATTCCTTTTGAGTCTCTCTCCCCTCTCCCGGGGAGACCCACGTAACCAGTTTTGGCAGTGAGCAACAAGTACAAGTACAAGTGTGTGTGTGTGTGTGTGTGTGTGTGTGTGTGTGTGTGTGTGTGTGGAAAAATGAAAAATAGGGATTCACTGGCCAGAAAAAGTCACTTCAATCAGCTGTGTGGTGGATACCAGGCTAAAAATAGTGGCGGTCAATTCATCAGCCTTGCAAGCTGTTGAATGGTGTAATCCCAGCACAAGTTGCTATGTCTAACATAGCTGTTCGCTATCATCGCTTCCGCGATGGGCAGGTCTGAGGTCTGAGGTCTGAGGTGTGTGTGTGTGTGTGTGTGTGTGTGTGTGTGTGTGTGTGTGTGTGTGTGTGTGTGTGTGTGTGTGTGTGTGTGTGTGTGTGTAATTGAGATGCATAATATACACAACAGTCCCAATGTCATTACTAGTCATGATAATTTTTGTTTGTCGTGAAATTGTGTGTTGCTCGGCACCTTCCCCTATAGATGGATTTCGGCATCAACTGCTTGTCAGTCCCGAGAGGCGACAACCCGATATCTTTGATGTGAGGTCGACGCTGAGACCAGAACCATCTCGTGTCATAGACCCAACTCCAAAGCGCGATGTGAAGTTTATTGTAGAACCATTTACCAAGGTAAAGAAAGAGGAGAGAGTTCCGAGACGATTTGCGTATACTAAGCCGGACGGGGATCTTCCTGCTGAAGCAGTTCCGACACCACCGCCGCCGCCACCAACACCACCTCCGCCACCTCACTGGGGAATACACTACATCATCGAAGCCTTGAAGTAAGCCACACCGATGATCTCTAATGTAATTATTATACTGCCACATGCTATTTTATTCATTAGTTTGAGGGGAGTTTGAGGGGAGTTTGAGGGGAAGGTGCGGACGCAAAAAAACACGCTACTTTAAAACGGTTTATTTTAGCGACGGTGATATTATTATTTTAAACTTTTTTAGGAAATCAGAGGCCACATGCCACATACTGCTTTTTTCTCTCCGAAACTCAACACTTGCAAGCCAGAGTCCCGGTGGTGTGACTGATGATTTTTTCTTTCTTTCATATCTGGCTTGCAAGTGCTGAGTTTCGGAGAGAAAAGAGCAGTACGTGGCATGTTGCCTCTAATTTCCTAAAAAAGCTTTGAAATTCTCCGTGAAGTCCAAATTTGAAATTGGTGATATTTTAGCGATTTTAGTGAAGGGAGTGTTTTCGCTAAAGTTTTGCGGCACCAATCAAAATTTTGCATGTTCAGTACAGTGCTGATCATCCTTCTTTTTAAACTCTGAAACTCGGATTGCTAAAATATTTCATCGCAAATTGGTCCAGATTCAGAAAACGTTTAAAAAAACTTTACCCGCTAAAATTAGCCGTTCTCCAGTATTCTTCTACACCGTTGGTGGCTTCCCGTGCTGCTACTGTTACTTGTGTATTCAAGACAGGTATCATCCAGTGGTAATCATTGGCAAGGGAGACAGAACAACTCTGAGAACTGCAGGCTTCTAGCCGGGTAAAACATAGTAGGGGGTGTGGGGGGGGGGGGGATGGGTGTGGGGGGGACGGGTGGGGGGGGGGGGGATGGGTGGGGCGGGATGGGTGTGGGGGGGGGGGTAGGCAGTGGAAACAGTCACCCTGTAGTTACCCTCATACCCCCCCTACCCCCCCCCCCTTGGCTACTAGAATACTGAAATATATGCAGGGCATACTGCTTCCATACTTGCACATGGGTCACCATCCTAACAAAATAAGGACAGCGTCAGAGTGGGTCAGACTGATCTTTCTGCATACATAGGAACGTGGTCACCCTCGATGACTAAGAGGTTGTGCAGAGGGTCAGGAAAGCACTCGGTGTATAACTGTGTGAAACATGCCGCTTCAAGTTCAAGTGTCCGTGGCTGAATTTCCTAGTGCAAAACATGCGTGACTGTATCACGACATGATATGAGCCGAGCCAAGCAAAAAGGTGGCTTAGGCATAATTTTTGGAAATTTCTTTTTCCATGCCAAAGTGATGTCAACCTATCCAACTTCCATCAGGGAAATTTTGGTGCCCATCTGAAATGTATATGTGCCATAAATACGTATACATTGCGCACATGTCCCAGCATACCGTATTTCCACAAATAGTAGGCCGGTCTACTATTTTTTCAACCTCGTCCTAACCCGGCCTTATAATCGAGGACGGTCTTGTATTCGAGGACGGTCTTTTATTCTTTCAACCCAGTTTGACCCCCCGGTCTTCTATTTCTCGCCACACAGTTTTACCCCCGTTCTTCCATTTCCTTCTACACAGTTTGAGCACGGTCTTCTATTTTTTCCCACAGTTTGAGCACGGTCTTCTATTTTTAACACAAGAACAATGACTCATTTAGTAGGCCCGGTCTTCTAATCGGAGACGGTCTTTTATTTTTTCAATCGCCCCCTGCCCCGGCCTTGTATACGAGGAAGGTGTTGTATACGAGGACGGCCTTTTATTTGCGGAAATACGGTACCTGGTATCAATGACACCGTAGTAAGGGTTTGAAGACCGGCCCAAACTCCCAAAATCATGGGACACCAAGTGGAGACAAAGCTTAGCAGGTGTGGAAGCAATACAAGAAGAAGGTACGCTTTCCAACGGCCAAAGAGAGTTGGAAAGCTTGTGTCTTTGTGGGTAACCTGAACATTTGGGCTCATGCAAAATCGCACCGATTTTGGGATTTCCCCACAACTTTTTGCGTCCGCAAAAATGTTGTGCTGGACCGCATTCCTGTCACTTCGCAGTGGCTTTTCGTTGGTGCAGTTTGTACTTCGCAGTGGCTTTTCGTTGGTGCAGTTTGTATTTTGGAGTTCTATGACATTTTGGGTCTAACATGATCATGGAAGAGTGCTCTTTCGACGAGAACAGGGCTTCAACTGTAGCTTTACAGCAGGAAAGAAAATCGATGCTGGTGGTCAGAGGGAAGACGTGATTGAACGATTTCTTGGCTGTTTTATGTTGGCAAGTCAAATATTCACCCTGCCGGGGAGTAGGCAGGTTAGTTTTTCTTCAGCTTCGGCCGTTTTTACCTCTGCTGCTGAACAGCTAGATCCCTGGACGTCAACTGCCGGCCAAGCATGTCATTGTTACGTACGGCCGGCCTGCTGCGAGTGTTCATCCAAATAATAGTGTGATCTACAGCGGGGCTGCCAAGTTTGTCCATTGATGCTGTCCAGCCAACTTTGTTGCTGCGTCTTATCAGCCAAATCCAGTGTCATCTGCTGCGAATATGCCAAATTTGGCCATTGCTACTACTTCTAGTCCGTCACATACAGTATTATCTGCGGAGAATCTGCCAAATGATTCGTCCAGTGCAGCTGGTCAGCCAACCATTGTGGCATCTGCTGCAGGCCTGGTGAATGTTGCTGTTTGTCAGTCAACATGTAAAACCATCGACCATGTATAAGTAATCACTCGTACATTGTTCACAATGCAGTATGTTGCTGGGCACCCATATTCGCCCTTCACAGCCAGTCAGCCACTAATTTTCCTGCTGGTGGTCATCCGTATATGCCAGCTTTGTCGGTCGGTCGGTACCCGTATGTCACGTATTGCATTCAGTTGCGCATGTTGCCAGCTGCAACTAGCCAGCGAGTTATCTCACATCACGGTAATAATGGACGTACCTCACAGTGCTGCCCCTGCATGGGCTCTTTGGCCGCGTGAATGAGTGGAGAGATTTTCACACAAAATTCCAAAATTCCGGGGTTCCAGTAAGTAGCGGCAACACCCCGACCGCTCAGCAAGCAACTTCTGCACAAGCAGCAAGATGTTCGAGCGTAGTGTGAGAGCCGGCGTCAATCTAAGTCTGGAGGCCGTGGAGAATGATCAAACCATGATGGCAGAGATGCTGCAATATTTGAGTGGCGCGGAAGTGGATGGATTTGATGTGGCCGCCTCCTATTCTCAGTAGCGGTATTGCAGCAGAGGAGGCTAGCCGAGTTCTTGGCAGCCACCAAGAAAAAGCTGGAATCGCCCACAGCGGCAATCTGACAAGTGAGATGCTTTACAGCCACACCTGTGCCGAGGGCATATAAATCCTCTCAGATACCACCTGGGCTGAATTATCCATCAGGCAAGTGTACATGATGATAAACAATGTCTGTTTTGGGCTTAAGGTATTCATTTTGCATTGAATGAGTGGTCAGGCCATGCAACGAGCTTCTTACAAGCGGATGAGTATAATGTAGGGGCCTGGTAGGTCATGCAATTTGTGTGCAAGGGATGTATTTACTCATAATTCTCGGTGCTTTGCCGCTAAACCAGTGATGAAACATCACTATGATCCATGGACATGAAAAACAGAATCCATTATAAGGTATATGGGTACCTACGAAAGCATGAATAAGGAATAACGAGCATGAATGAGACAAGGGTACCTGCGGAAGCATGAATAATGAATACGAGCATGAATGAGACAAACACCAAAAAGTGTGAAATAGTTGGGTACCTACGAAAGCATGAATAAGGAATAACGAGCATGAATGAGACAAGGGTACCTGCGGAAGCATGAATAATGAATAACGAGCATGAATGAGACAAACACCAAAAAGTGTGAAATAGTTGGGTACCTACGAAAGCATGAATAAGGAATAACGAGCATGAATGAGACAAGGGTACCTGCGGAAGCATGAATAAGGAGTAACGAGCATGAAGGAGACAAACACCGAAAAGTGTGAAATAGTTGTGTAGCCGATTACCGTATATCTGGTATCCTATTCTTACTTTGCCCTTGTCAGTGAAGTGTAAGAGAGCCCCAGTGCGGCTCAGAAGTGTGAAGGGTGCGAATGTCTTCGGGCAATGAAGAGAGAGAGAGAGAGAGAGAGAGAGAGAGAGAGAGAGAGAGAGAGAGAGAGAGAGAGAGAGAGAGAGAGAGAGAGAGCTAATGCCACAGTGGCACAATTTCGTGGGTGTGAATGTCTTCGGGCAATGAGAGAGAGAGAGAGAGCTAATACCGCAGTGGCACAGTTTGGTGGGTGTGAATGCTTTCGGGCAATGAGAGAGAGAGAGAGTACTAATGCCGCGGTGGCACAGTTTGGTGGGTGTGAATGCCTTCGGGCAATGAGTGAGAGAGAGAGAGCTAATGCCGCGGTGGCACGGAGATATTGCCGAAGTGGCACAGTTTGGTGGGTGTGAATGCCTTCGGGCTATGAGTGAGAGAGAACTAATGCCGCAGTGGCACGGTTTGGTGGGTGTGAATGCCTTCGGGCAATGAGTGAGAGAGAGAGAGAGCTAATGCCGCGGTGGCACAGAGATATTGCCGAAGTGGCACAGTTTTGGTGGGTGTGAATGCTTTCGGGCAATGAGAGAGAGAGAACTAATGCCGCGGTGGCACCGAGATATTGCCGAAGTGGCACAGTTTGGTGGGTGTGAATGCTTTCGGGCAATGAGAGAGAGAGAACTAATGCCGCGGTGGCACCGAGATATTGCCGAAGTGGCACAGTTTGGTGGGTGTGAATGCCTTCGGGCAATGAGAGAGAGAGAGAACTAATGCCGCAGTGGCACGGTTTGGTGGGTGTGAATGCCTTCGGGCAATGAGTGAGAGAGAGAGAGAGCTAATGCCGCAGTGGCACAGAGATATTGCCGAAGTGGCACAGTTTTGGTGGGTGTGAATGCTTTCGGGCAATGAGTGAGAGAGAGAGCTAATGCCGCGGTGGCACGGAGATATTGCCGAAGTGGCACAGTTTTGGTGGGTGTGAATGCTTTCGGGCAATGAGAGAGAGAGAACTAATGCCGCGGTGGCACCGAGATATTGCCGAAGTGGCACAGTTTGGTGGGTGTGAATGCCTTCGGGCAATGAGAGAGAGAGAACTAATGCCGCAGTGGCACGGTTTGGTGGGTGTGAATGCCTTCGGGCAATGAGTGAGAGAGAGAGAGCTAATGCCGCAGTGGCACCGAGATATTGCCGAAGTGGCACAGTTTGGTGGGTGTGAATGCCTTCGGGCAATGAGAGAGAGAGAACTAATGCCGCAGTGGCACGGTTTGGTGGGTGTGAATGCCTTCGGGCAATGAGTGAGAGAGAACTAACGCCGCAGTGGCACAGTTTGGTGGGTGTGAATGCCTTCGGGCAATGAGAGAGAGAGAGAGAGAGAGAGAGAGAGAGAGAGAGAGAGAGAGAGAGAGAGAGAGAGAGAGAGAGAGAGAGAGAGCTAATGCCACAGTGGCACAGTTTGGTCTGTGTGAATGCCTTCGGGTAATGAGAGAGAGAGAGAGCTAATGCTGCAGTGGCACAGTTTGGTCTGTGTGAATGCCTTCGGGTAATGAGAGAGAGAAGGAGAGAGAGAGAGAGAGAGAGAGAGAGAGAGAGAGAGAGAGAGAGAGAGAGAGAGAAAGAGAGAAAGAGAGGAAGAGAGAGCTAATGCCGCAGTTTCATGGGTGTGAATGCCTTCGGGAAACGAGTGAGAGAAATATTGCCAAAGTGGCACAGTTTGATGGGTGTGAGTACCGTCGGGGAATTAGTGAGAAATACAGTACAGTACCTCTTTGGCCTGCAGTTGTGTGTTGTGTTTGTGCTTCGCTTCTGTGACTTGTATGTTTCCACAGGTGGAGGCGTTGGGCACGGAAGTGACATATCTTGTCTTAATCTTGCGCTCAGTGGTGTGGCTATCGCAGTGGTCTGAAGAGCACGAAGATGCCTGGGTTCAGGGGGGGGGGGCCATTTGGTACCTACCGAGTCAATGCCCTGACCGTACAGTATGGACTGTGGCCTATATACAGACGTTTTGGCATGATCACATCAGCAGCTGGGCCAGCCATTGTATGGCGAGACACATGCTTGGCATTTACCATGGCCTTTACATCTCTATGACGTATACCAGGGCCGAGAGCTGTTTTCTATAGATGCTGCGCGAGTAGGATGTTAATGAGAGTGTTGTTCAGGAACATGGATAGTGCAGTCTGCCTTACTGGACGAATCCAAACCTCGTATTGGCAAATATTGGGAATCTATGCAAGCGCTATGCAGCCGAATCGGAGGACACAATTTGACAGGTAACACAGAGTATATGGCAAGGCATGTACCCAGGGCTATCCTTTTCTGTCGCCATTGCCGAGCCACCGTGCTCACAGCAGAGACTTCTGTGTGTGTTATTGTTGTGAAGTGGACCACAAAGACGGTACGCTTTCCAACGGCCAAAGAGAGTTGGAAAGCTTGTGTCTTTGTGGGTAACCTGAACATTTGGGCTCATGCAAAATCGCACCGATTTTGGGATTTCCCCACAACTTTTTGCGTCCGCAAAAATGTTGTGCTGGACCGCATTCCTGTCACTTCGCAGTGGCTTTTCGTTGGTGCAGTTTGTATCCCACCCTCCCACCCCTGACTTCTGGGTGTGTGTTTATCGATATATTATCGTATTGGTTTTTCTTATTGGCCATGTGGCTGTTGCAGTTACGACTGCTTTTCTTTTTTAGTTAAAAAACGTAGGGGTGGTGTGTGCGTCGTGGGCCATTGTATGGTTACATACAGCTTCAGATTGTATGGCTAGTGACAGGGGGGTTGAGTCTGCAGGGGAAGAATACAGTGATTGAACTGAAGCTGGATGATGACCGTGTGGTGAGTGTGTGGGGGGTTCGAGATGCCGTCCTGGGGCAAGGATGTCGGTCCTTTAGCTTGGATGGGTGTTGTTACATTCATTGTAACATTTTGTCGTTTTCTGTGTGTTTTGCTGTGCGACTAAGTAGCAGCAGTGTCTTGTGCTAATTTTTCTTATGATATCAGGCCCTATGCGTACAATTATTCAAAAAAGAAGAAAAAAAAATATCAGGAAGGAGATATAATAATATCAATAATAAAGCCATTGCCGAGCCACCGTGCTCCATTGCCGAGCCACCGTGCTCCATTGCCGAGCCACCGTGCTCACAGCAGAGACTTCTGTGTGTGTTATTGTTGTGAAGTGGACCACAAAGACCGAGCACTTGTGTTCTAATTAGAAGATCCAAAGAAAGAATAAATAATTGATCTATGTACCTCATGATTGTCATTTCTTCACGCAACACGAATTTTCATATCCTTCAATGATGTTGTGAGTCTGTGACTATATTTTCGCTGGGCTGGGATACGTCGCATCGTACCAAGACAGTCCGTCATACTCTCTCCAATCACCTATGCCAGCATGAATTAATCCTTTCATGTAGCTCGTAGTGTTGTGCCAGAGATCGAGCTCCATCCGTCCCTTGTACGTACGTGTAGGTGCAGCAGACAGCACATCGCTAAAAAGCGGCACTGATTCTTTGTCCGTCCTAGTCCATGTCATTCTCCTTCCCTGGTGCAGGTAGTGGTAGAAGGCACCACGGGACGATATGCTTACAGGTAGAGTCAATGCGTCGCTTCGTCGTGTGGCGCCATTGGCCTTGAAATGAGGAAATTTTGGAATACAGTACGCCACGTCATGAACATTTGAAGGTGCCGAAACAAAGTGAAACATCGCAGCAAGAGCCAACTCACCAGGCCGCTTGTCAGAATGATAGTCGGACGGCTTGTACACGTCTCCCCATAGCTATACTAGCCGCTCTAGTCGTGGCCACGATGAGAAACACGGCCACTATGAATGAGCGAATCTTCCTCGTCAAGTGGGGTTGGGCGCACACGGAGACAGAGTGTCATCCTGCTCACCTCCACATTCTCCAGAACGCTCCATTACGATCTCTGGCAGGGGCAAGAAATCCCCACAACGATGAAAGAGGGAACACTGAAGAAATGTTGCTAAAAAAAGGCCTCTTTCTTCTTCTCCAAACTATTTTACTTGAAAGGTTCAAAGGGTGCTCGAAAGTGAATATTTTCGCGACTGCGCTCGAGTAGAATTTTGCCGACTGTGACGTTTTGGTGATTATCTCGATTTGTTGGCAAAACGCTAAGCCACTTTTTAGCTTGGCGCGGCTCATATTTTGTGCGACATGTAGTCAAAGCATGGCATGCACTCGCTTTGGCACAGGGATATTCATTGCTCCGCTTGCACTTGCCATGCTTCTGTGTACATATCTGTAGCTGATCGATCCTCTTCAATTTTCCATACCATTTTGCTCAAATTCCGCACTGCGGACGAAGGAGTGATTTTCCGTACAAGTACGGAAAATTACGGAAGTTTGGCAGCACTGGCAAACTGCACTATTCTGAATGTGTGGAAATCATGCAGTGAAGACTATCTGAGTATATGTTGCTTGTCCTGTCCTGTGTCCGCCCTCCATAGTATGTTCAAGCCAAACGAAGGTGGTGGAACCATTGCCTTGACTTGTGCACAGATCATTCGAATTATGTCTGGGCTGTGTAAGTAGTTGTGTTCATGCTCTCTGTATGAAGGTGATGCTGGTGTCAAGTTTGGTGCCTTTGGTGGTGCTGGTATCGAGTGTGGTGCCTTTGGTGGTGCTGCCAGTACCAGTGGCGTGTCCAGGATTTGGCTGAGGGGGGGTTGCGGCCGGGATCAAGGCGGGATGGGGTGGGGGTAGATGACATCATGCTACTGTCCCAGGTCATTTTGAAAACCGATGTCAAGAAGCTCCTCCTGTAGCCCCCTTCTTCAACAGTTATTCACCCGAACGGCCCCAGAGACTGTTCCGGAGGATCAGCGCACCACACGGGGACAAGTGTCGAAGTTGCTTCAAGTTCCCTTTCTTCGTGGGCCTGCGGGACGATCGACCATGATGTTTCGGGGAAGCATTCTCTGGAACGCTCTCCCCTCTGATTTTAGAGTGATACGTGTCCCTGGTCCCTTCCGAAAAGCTCTTTCTGCCATTGGTATACTTACTTTGTGAATATCCTCGTTAAACTTTTATTATCTGCCATAAATTCCAACCTTCTCATCTATCACATTTGTGCATGCATGTCTATAAAATCAACCACGTGTTCCTGACTCCATGAGATTGTCTTTCTATTCTTTGACTCCATGAAATTATTGTCTTTCTATTTCTGACTCCATGAAATTGTCTTCATATAAATTTTTCCTTTTCTTCTTTTGGTCCTTTCTGTCTTATATAATAATTAATATCATTTCTTGTTTTCCCTTGCATATCATCCCTTCATCATTCTGTGAGAACCTGTCCTATGGGCAGGTGAGAAGGCATCTCTGCCTGCTCATTTGGATAAGTACAATAAACAACAACAACAAGCCGTAAATCTCACACACCACGAGCAGTATTTCTGTACACGCAGCAACAATGTACATTGTACACTTCAAATAATAATTTGCCGTTAGGTGAGCGAATCAACTGCAATTATTTATGCGAGTCCAACAATTTCTCACCGCTCTCAAAGAGTCAAAGCATCCTTTACATAGGCAGCGGTACTTGTCACTGTGCGCTGTTCTTCATGTTCTGGCTACTCCCTGACAACAGATTCTTCCGCGTCTGGCGGAGTGTGACTGTCAGTCCGCTCCGAAAGTTCAACTGGAATAACAGCGACTTCATCACTCCCACTGTTTCCTGTTGGAGCGGCAGCAGGAGTTGCGCCGCCACAGGAACGCTTTACAAAAATTCCAGGCTCTGCTGGCTAGAGCTTGGCCTTTTGGGATGTCCCTGAGACATCGAAGAAAAGCCTTCGAGTCAACCAAAACACGATTCGAACGAGGATGATCGCCTGAGCCCTCGGCATTCGAATCGTGTTTTGGTTGACTCGATCGAAGACTTTTCTTCGATGTTTGTACCGTTGAAGACGCGTCGAGCGCGTCCCAGCAGGGATCACACTGTACAACAGTACACAGTCAGGTCACCGTGTTTCTGTAGCCGCGCCGTGCATGCTCACTGTACGTAGACTCTACTCTGTAGACTGAGTCTGTACTAGTCTGTAGTGTGTACAATCAACACCAGCTCGACCGTGCAACCGCTTTTGGACAATCGTTTCAGGCCGCGCGCGCGCGCCCTGACGAGCCTAGCTCGATCGACCCGGCGCCCTAGCGCCCTGCCTATTAATATTATTTTTCGAAACCTAGGTCGAAATTTTTGAGGGGGGGGCGCGCGCCCCCCGCGCCCCCCCCCCCCCCTAAACCCGCCACTGAGTACTGCTGCCGGTGCTAGTGAGTGGTGCTTATATTGGCAGTGCTAGTGTTGGTGCTTAGTGGTGCTGGTTATTCAGAATACTGTCTGTGATGACTCTGTGTGTACGTGTGTGTGTGGGTGGGCATGTGGGTGTGCGTGTGTGTACGTGTGTACATGTGTGTACGTGTGTGTGTGCGTATGTGTGTGTGTGTGTTTGTGTGTGTGTGTGTGTGTGTGTGTGTGTGTGTGTGTGTGTGTGTGTGCGTGTGTGTGTGTGTGTGTGTGTGTGTGTCCAGCTAGTTCGGTTGGTTGGTACACTTATGCCGGATAGTGTTGGGTCTGTTGCCAACGGGCTCGGCAGCTTGAAGGTGTAATGTTGTACTTATCACCTTTGTTGGTTTCAGGGTTCATATACTTTCTATTTGAAGTATACATACCTGTTAACCATGGACTACTTCTGGTTAGATTAACTCTTGTGTAATCATGGTGCTAGTGAAGCTTGTATCAGATCCACTCTGATTTAGCTACTCACACTAGTAGCAAGTATTGCCTTCACTGGGGGCAGGGGTAACTGCAGTTGGATCCCAGGACGGATACCCTGATGCCGTCAATCCTTTTTCTGCACCTTGTCCTCACCCACTTACGAGGTGTGGTGAGCCCGTAAGTGGGATCATTTTCAAGTCCACCCAGAGTTTTGGGGATTTCAGGGGGTGTCGGCCGTTGGGCGGTTCAATAGCCAATTGAGTCATCTTTCCAAGATTCCTTTTGAGTCTCTCTCCTCTCTTCCGGGGAGACCCACGTGACCAGTTTTGGCAGTGAGCAACAAGTACAAGTACAAGTGTGTGTGTATGTGTATGTGTGTGCTTGTTTGTGTGTCTATATATGTGTGTATGTCTGTGTGCACATTATGTACTTACACCAGTCCCACCGGACCAACTTTTCAGCCACCAACACATGTTTACTACTGCAGAGGTCATGTGTACCCACCATATTATACACAAACTGTATGAAAGACCACATAACTACCGGACCAATCAATGGCTGCACACGGTAGTCCTGTACTCACAGTGATCCATAGCGGCATGAACTGTGAAACTGTGGTGCACTGAAAGTATTCATTCGTCTTCTCTGCAGTTGAAAACAAGGTGCTGCAAGGTGCTCTCGCTCAGAATGTTGTTGCTCATCGTCTGGATCGTGTCTTGACAGACGAGAGCAACGGTTTGAATGAGGTATAGAAATCTGTTTTCTTGTGCATTGAGTCAACATGCAGCATCCCTCTGCCTCTCTGCCTCTCCCTGTGTGTGCCTTTCTCTCCTCCCCCCCCCTCTCCCCCCCCCCTCTCTCTCTCTATCTATCTATCTATCCATCTCTTGTGTATGCTGATTCCGAGACTTTTGGCCGCGAAATACATAACCAATCACTGGTTTGGTACGATAGCAGGATGGTACGACCAAAGCGAAGCTTCCCTTTCTTTTCTTATCCTTGATCAAATTGAACCTCACAAGTTGGGTGGTTGTTGCTTTGCTTTGCATCGTCGGATTGTGGTTAGACCTAAAAATGGCCTTACTGTCCCGCTATCGTGCCAAGCCAGCATGCCATGGAGCCTGGACATGAAACTTGTGTTCAGCTCGATGGCGCTTACCTTCCCCTCTTTGAAATTATCACTAATATCCATGATTGGTTAAAGCTATTGAGCAGTGCTCAAGCTCACTTTCATGCCGTGGAATGTCCAAGTACTCCTTGTCAGTCTGGTGCTGCCTTGTGCATGTCTGACTGTTCAATGGCTTGTTTAGTTGGTGTACTCTAACACATAACTTTTGCCCCACTTTTTTCGTATTCTCACTTCACCTTAAAATGAAAACTTATCAACTTGTAGCGAAAAATGCACTGATTCCAATGGTGAAGGTCTCAGGTTGATCGGAGCAGCCGTTCCCGAGTTATACCTGCTTTTTAAAAGTTTTCACTAAATTTGGTGATGTCATTAGGTGGGCTTCAATGAGCGTGTGATCATGGAGAGAGCCGAAGCTGATTCCTGTATGATCTGCTGATGCATGTTAACGCTCCACCTTACTACTGCTCACGCCATCTTTACCCTGTTGCAGGAGGCGCGGGCAATCGTGCTGGCAGCATCGGGTAGCATCATGGACATTGCCGGTTTCCTGCCGCTGGACAAAGAAATCTTCCCCGATTACGTACCGTTAACGGAAGATGAGAAGAGGATGGTGTTGGCGGAGATAGCCGTCGCAGATGCCCGCAACTACGACAAAGCACTAGCTGAATACGCTCTACAGGGTATTCGTCCGACTAAAAGCATTTCCAAGGATATGAGCTCACGAAAGAAACGAGAAATGTTGTGGCAGGAAACCGTCTACAAGAAGAGGTACGAGGAAGTCTACAAGCAGATTAGAAACCGCCGCCGGAAGAATGCGAAGAAACGCGCCGGTGCCTCGGGAGCGAAGGCACGTTCTGCTCGAAGGCCAAAAACCGGTACGCCTTCGAACACACCAGTGGGCAGCCCAACTTCGAGCAGAAGCGCGTCTTCAAGCAAGACAGTGGGCAGTGCGTCGTCCAGCAAGTCTGCAAAGAGTCTACCGGATTGATGGTGACCAGAAAGACCCGACTTTACGCACGATACAGGTATGCTAGTGGTGAGTAACAACACCAATAACAAAGTAACAAATGGTGTAACTAAGAACGAGGGGAACACCGCTAGATACCAAATAAAACCAACCGTGATGTAGGACAGGACGGGGCAGGGTGTCTGATCAACTTGAACAATTCTCTCAGCCTTCACCATTGCACTCCCCCAATGATCTGTTGCCAATAGGTCATCGGGGTGTTGGCTAAGAGGACAGAGAGACTTCGAGGAGGCATTGCCACTATTCGCTCGGCTACTGCGTCAACGCCGGCTACGAAACAGTCCACAATAGATTAGTGTTATTGCCACTGGCTGTGGCTGCATCTGCCGCGTTGCTAGTACAATTAAATTATTCAACGGTATATTGGCGCTTTGAAGACAGTCGTCGTTACAACCGAAGAAAAGTGTACACCGTGGTGGACACACGCGCTCAGCCATAACACTATCCTGCATGCATGCATGCTTTCTCCTGCAATAATCTGACATAGCATAGTGTCACAGTCTTTTTCCTCAGCTGTTGTACTGCTATCATACGATAGAGTAGAGTATACCGTATGACTGGATGGTTTCCCACACCCGACCTTTCTCAATCGGCTGTCTGTTGATATGGCTGATGCTGATCATGCCATGTGACCATCACTGAATAGTCACATGATTGTTTTTAAAACACTGTGGTTCTTTTTCTAAGAATTCACACACTTTAGCGCAGCCATAGCTCGGCCATGCCCGAACATTTGGTGTAGGGAGATAATGATGTTTCGCAGCAAAGAAACCAAATTGTTGAACAATGGTTGACGGAATGCACGATTTACTGTGACACATCCGAATAACTGTGTTGATGTTTTACGAAAAATCACACCATCGGCCTACAGTCATGTACATGTACATGTACAAGGGCCTTTCCTAGACTTTCATAATACCACCATGTAGATCTACAATGTACATGATTGTAGCTCTGGAGCAATCAGACCGCATATGGCATAGGGGAGGATAGCTCATCTACAATGTACATTGTATGTAAAGCAGCTGAGCAGGTGCAGCAGCAGTAGTGTCCTGATTCAGTGTAATATCCTGGAGCATATACTACCCTACTACTGGTAGATCATCGGCTTCACAGTTCACTGATGCTGCAAAGCACCAGGTCTGCTATTCTGCGGAAGGTGGGGGGGGGGGGGGGGAGGACCAGAAATATTGGATTGATCATTGAACTTTTGAAGCAAAGACATTTGTACAATGCAGATTAGGACGGCGGTACATGTACAATGTCATGTGCTTGTACATGTACGTGTACAAGCGTACAGTATACGCAACTAATAAGTTTTGTTTTCACCGCTCAACAAGTTATGATTCCTACACGAAAATTCCACCGCATGTGGTTTACACATGTCTCATAAGATATGCAGTGTGACTGGTGACAGGTTGGTTGCATGCAGTACACTTACCAATGTCACCCTGGGGCTGGTGAAGTCCAGGGAGGCATGGACCATGGTGTACTGTAAAAGCAGAAATTTTCGGTGCCGAAGTTTTCACCGAAAATAAAACCCACCAAGAATGTCGGTACTATAGCTACTAGTACTAGTACACTTACCTGGAAAACGGGTTTCCCGAAAATTTCCCTCCACCGAACCGCCGATTTTGGAGAATTCCGAAAATATTACACCACCGAAGTTTTAGTGCTATCGTTTTGGTTCACGGTGCGTGCCTGTAACTACTTTGGAAGTAACATTTACAGTCATTACATGTATACATGCTTGTACATCAACTTCAAGTACATTGTAGTAACCAGGGAGTCGTAAAATACCGGTATTTTACGACTCCCTGGTAGTAACTGTTGTCTGATGAAGGGGGGTTTTACCATGAAACTCTGTATACAGTACTGATTTACAACACCCCTTGTGCATCATGTAAGCAAGAGTATAACCATGATAACCATGATAACCCCCCATGACTGCATGAGGGTTATACTCTTGATGTACATGTAAGTCATTAGCTAGGTCATCACGCCTTGGCCTGGCACGCGTGGTGGCTGGAGTACACATGGTACAGATTCGACTACATGAGTGCCACTGCCAGTGCGGGGCACCCTGTCATGACCGGCCCATGGCATGCACTACAAATGTTTTAGTACGTGATCATGGTGATGTGGAGAGAAGCAATGTCCAATGACCATGATTATAGTGTGCGACGAAACTACAATTGTTCAAGATAGCCCTGTGCGATCAAGTCATTCACTTTGTAGCATTTTGAATAACCGCTTTGTGCCGCAAGAAAATCACTCACGAATGAATGGCATATTAAATCGGTCGACAAACGTATTCACAGCAACAATTACGCACGGCTTTGTGCGTCTGTTTGAGTGTTTGCCGGAATCTACACAACACTGCTGGAGACATACATGTACATGTACATAAGTAGTGCCATGGCTCTACTACGAAGTACACTACAATACAGTTACTGAGTACCGTGCTAACGACTACGTTACAACGTGCAGCATAAACTGCTGTACCCATTGCTTGGCATCACATCAGCAAAGTACCCCATTGAAGTAAGCATGTTCGGCTTACTGTATTCAGACAAACCGGGTCAGTAATTGATGGCCATACGTCTTGCTTTACAGCAACCCTCACACAGACAAAATGGAGTGTGCAGCATTCAAGGGACGTCCTCCTCGATCAGCCGCCGTCGACCGACAAAACTGAGCGTCCTGAGAACGACGCAACGCCCCTCACATGCCATGGTGTAGCTGCCAGGGCACAGCATCAGTCACGCCATACCCTGCAGGCTAGGCCTCACCCAGTACTACGCTACTTCGTAGACATCATTCTGTCCTGCAGTACTGCAGTGCAGAGGGAAAACCAGGCAACACAGTCTTGACCTGTTTGCGTGGGTGGAGGTGACGCTCGACTGCTACACAGATGCAGTACAGTCATGTACGCCTTTCAGTTTCAGTTTCACGTACATGTACGTGTACATGTAAGTATTCGCTTCCGGCGATTTACTACTGTACAGTACTAGTGGAGTCTCTTTACTGAAATCTGAATACAGACAACTGAGACATGTCATTTACAAAATGAGGAGGTGATGGTCGGTTGTCCGTGGCACGGATGACTCTGACAGTCGTACAATCATGATTTTTTGCTTTTCAAGTGCATGTAGTAGTACTCTTGGTACTACATGTATGTACAAGTCATGTATTACATACCGGGGGTAATACCCATGCACAATGACATGCACCTTGTTTACTACTAGGCGTAAACTTACTTGTACGTACATGTACTTAGTTTTGTTGGTTTGGAGAGCGCACTGTTACTGACAATTATGTTCCGTGTGACGAACAATGGTTGACTCGACCAGGCTGGGTGACAAGAAAACGCCTTGGCCTAAGTAAAAGCATGTTTGTGCGCCATGCTGTTTTTTTTGAAGGCACCGATCAATGCATGCGACGATCAGGCTGTACTGTCACTGTGCCAGCTCTTCGGCATGATTCATTGGTCGTCTAGTCTATCATCAGCCGGCGCAGCGGTGTAGTGGGTTGGGGAAAGGGTGTTAGGACAAGCACAGACCATACAGACTGACCCTGCAGCGCAGCCTGCTGCCGTAGACTGCCAGAGCGTTCCCAGCCACACACTGATTCATGGGCATTCGTTGATCCCTCCCTACAGTACAGCTACATGCCCTGGATGGACAAACCTATAATTATAATGATGTATAAATCACTGCGTATTGTAATAATGTATTGTACATGTACATGTAATAATAAATTACTAATAATGTATTGTTTTCTAATGGGAGCAGCTGTATTCGAGGTGTCACACAGATTCCTCGTAGTTGAGGTGGGGTGAGCGTTCCCACTTCCCAGACACGCACAACGTGTGCAAACCACCTGCGCCTGCACAACACTCGTTCAGCCAGCTTTTTCCCAGAGTCTGTCTGTACAATCATGTTTGTCGTGGCTTCTCTGTAGTGCTCTTTTTCAATCACGTACGAGCTCGTAGATCTACATTGTCATTGTACTAACGTTTGTAGTAGCTAGATCTGCTGCATGGGCCAAATCACCTTCTTTGGGAAAGTTTGGGAGTTTGCTGTGCGTGAAGGTGCACACAGAAGTCACGGCTGATTAGCGCCCTGCGTCGACACCTGTGCTTGGTGAGTAGAAAACACACAAGATAAATTTCCACTCCCCGACCGTTGCCAGTTCTTCCTGTACTTCACGCTAAAGCCGGTTGACCGGCCTAGCACGGGCTGCGTAGTGCCATTGTGCGTGCCAGACAACGGAACTGCGCTAGCTCAGTGCCCCCGGCCGACCTTTGAACTGGTACAATCGTCATGTAGATTCTAGATATACATGTGCGCGCGTTTGGCCTGATTATTGATGTCGCGCTCGGCTCAGTCACCGAGTCAGTAGATCTACGTACGCTGATTCAGCGCCATTCTTTGTATGACTCGCACATTTTGCGTGTTGGAAATACCTGCGATCTTACAGTATGTGACGTATCCCTGCGTGACGTTGAGTGAGTCGATTCATTGCTCGGAAAGGGCAAGACGAAAAGCAGTGAGAGAACAGCCCGACACAATGCGGTCGGCGAAAAGTCAAGATCTAATGGGCCACGCAATGGACCACAATATGAGCCGGAATATTGGAGCGAGCGATGAAGCAGGGGTTGGGGCGCTGCCCTGACCACAGTCGAACAAGTGACATTCGCAACACGTGGTGCAAGAATCGCTGGGCTGGACGGGCTGAAATCTTCGGCAGCAGCAGCGACAGGCGATCGATGCAGCCCAGGTCACAGGTAGAGGATCTAGGAACCGTCACTGTATCATTGTATGCCGTCTCACCAAACAGATGAATGTCACCAGCCTTCGCAGTCGCGCATACCTGTACACCACGCAGTCTGCGAACATTTCAGAATGCCGGTTGAAATCTTGCACGAAGAAAATAGAACAAGATGTATTGTAAAGGCTTAGCGCGAGCATTCAATCAGCTAGATCATTCACAGACGAATGTTTTCTTGGCCGCGAGCCTTCTGCCGTTCGCTTTCCAATCCCCAGAACGCTATTTTACGCTTTGGAGCGAGTATTCTTAGGTCAGTGTAAGACTAGAGGTTCTAGGTCTGTGTATGCCGTTAGTTTCCCGTTTGTGGCCGCGAGGTGAAGTGTTACGAGAGTTGTCGCTTGCTTTGATTGCGTTCCTGAACTTGGGACAGCCCACTTCCCGCTGCATGCTGTGAGCACGGTCCGGTGGATCTAGCAGTACAGGCCTTCAGATCAGTCACAATCGGGGTGTGTGCGTATGCCACTGCCTGGAACCGTTTCATAGCTAGCTGGACGAGCATTCGGCCTTGTCGTGTAACACTCCGGCGTAGTGTTGTCAATGTAAGCTGCTCCGCAGTACACGACCAGTTGCGTTGTCCTCAGTCAGTCGCACTCAGGGGAGGTTTGTTTTGTTTTTGCTTTTGGTAGTAGCGTGTTTCTTGCTTCCATAGCTGTCTTTGACACACGGAGCTACACCAGATGGTCTAACCACATTGCTCAAGCACCTTCTTCACGCCAATACCTGACCCGAAAGCTGGAAGTTTGAAAGTTTGAAGCCGCCCGTCGTCTTTTCAAGTGTCCATCTGAAAGAAGGAAGCAGTAAACCATGACTGAAGGCGGTGTGGAGGTTTGTCACAGAGCTCGTTCGCATTCGCAGTCGCAGTCCAGTGGAGGACAGCAGCATCACAATGACCAGCGGTCGACTGTTGTGCGTCCGGCCAGTGCAACTCCACCGCCGTCCGGTTCTCCTTCACCCACTCTGCGAAATGCAACGCTCTACTCATCCGTCACCACCAGTGTCGTGGCAGAGTTTGTACCCAGTCGACCTACACGTCAGAGCACAAACAGAGCTCTGCGGAATGACCTACCAGACGTGCGAGCAGCCATGAAGCAGCGTGCCCTTCGCCAGGCAGCGGCGCACAAGACGAACGTGTCCCCAGCAGCATCGGGCGGCAGTGCGGGACAACTGTCGGGCCAGTACGCTGACCTAGACTTTGTTGCAGCTGGTGGGGCACGACAAGAAATGAGCAGACAGCCGACATCATCACCTGATGACCATGGTCGAGTGCGCAGAGATCAGCTGATGAGTGTGTATGGCTTAGAGCGAAGCGTAATGTACGAGAACTTGGTGCGCCCCAAAGATGGTGTTCAGGCCTCGTTTTGGCTAGGAGCTGATCACAATTCCGTTTCTGGACAGGCGGAAGATGGCTGCTCACCTGTGCCGGATCATGCTGCTGTGAGTGTCTCACATTCGGCACAGTCCTCCTCGTCAACTGGTAGCTATGAGAACATACCGGAGCACGGCACATTCAACTATGGTTCTGATGAGAATGTTGCTGTTGCTGCTGCCACTGCTGCTGTTACAACAAGAGGACTAGATTGTGGTGGCGTTGACCATGCATATCTTACACACGATGCACCAGACCGTAGTGAACCGTGCAACCCGTCAGCAAGACACCCACCGCTGTCAGCATACGAGCAGATTGCAGACAATGAGCGAGCGGCAAGCACTGACTCTCCTGGGGGCATCATGCCGGTACAGATCGGCCGCTCATCGACGCTCAACTACCGACGGAGGATGTCGTCACGGAAACGCTGCGTCACGCCGGTCTCCATGATCAGCCGTGCTCCCACCTCGGGACCGCCGTCGAGTAGCCGAAGACATTATGAAGATACAGACTTGGTGACTGGGCTGCCTCTGGACATGTCCCCACCGCCGTCAGCCACTCCTAGCCACCACCACGCAGCTAGCATCACGTCGCGGCCACAGTCTCCACGCAGCGTTGACACAGCGTCGCTACAGGATCTTAGCTGGTCACACATGCGATCGTGCTCAGCGCCGGAAGTACCATCGGCGCTGGTTGAGGATGTATCGCCACCATACCCCGTATCCCCGTTGGCCGCCACTCCGGATCAAATTTTCAACAACGGCACATTGACGGCAGCACGACTCTACTACATGGGCCCACCTAGACCACCGCAACGCCGTTCATCGCTCTCATCGAAAAGCCTCAACAACGAGGCTCTTTCTGCGCAGCAGAGATATCCAAAACAAGAGCCTGGCACGCCGCCTCTACCTCCCAAGACCCGTGGGCGACAGGACGTGGCTGGTGGAATGGTCACGGTGGCGCCGCATGACGGTTACGTCAATGCACCCGTGTGTCCTGGGACAACACGTGCAAGTGGTAGTCAGTCACCTGAAATGTCGCTGGCATCACTCAGTGTAACCACCAGAGACTGTGCCTCTCCCGTGAGTACTGTTGATAGCAGCGCGTGCTCCTCTCCGGATTACCTCAGCGTCGGTCCACTGCCGTGCCGCAAGTCGTGGAGAAAGTCGTCAGCCATGGAGGTGTTTGGTGAGTTTCAAGTCCACTACTTAGGCAGAGCGGAGGTGACCAGTGCGTACGGTGCCGTGGACAGCGCAATGGAGAGTGTGGTGCAGGCGTGCGCGAAACAAGCAACCTCTATCAGTGCTGAGCTACCGACACCGTGTTGCATGACCGTCTCTGCTGCCACCATCGAGGTAAGCTACTATTTTCATTAGTTGGTGGACGATTCCCTTTTTGGAGATGGACTTACTGGCAGTGGAAAGACTGTGCATGTGGCTGTGCTGGAGCGTCCGACATTTCTCAATGTTCACACCTGTGCCATGCTGTCTCTCTTATTCAGGTATCCACCAGTGCAGAGATCATGATGAGACATGAAGTTGATAGCGTGGAGACTATTTCAGCACACTCCGGACGACCTTCATCGCCAACAGCAGCTGCCGCATTCGACCAGGGCTGCACTCCAACAGCACCCGATCATTGCCAGAATGTGTTCTCGTACGTGATGGTGGAGGAAGGAGTGGCGGCAACTTGCTTTGTGTTCCGTGCTAAGAACGAGCTTGCCTGCAGCGCAGCCGTTACTACCATGGAAACAGCATTGTATGCCGATGTCAAACAATTCAAGGTGAGCGGTATGCCACAAGTGTGTGAGTGTTCTCTGTTCAAATATCCGTTGGCCAAGGCCAGTACGAACAGTTAGCTTGTAAGAACCGTGTTTGAAATATCTTTCGAAAATGGCAATGTAAAGGCGCATGCTCAGAAAAGGTATGTCTGGATTCCTACCTCATCATGCTCATCAAACTTGAGTGCGTCGATGTCCTAGAAATGCCTGCATGGGAATGTGTGCGTGAGGGCTGGTTTTCCAACTTGGTACACACACATGTACACTGCAAGTGAATACATCTACAAGTAGGGCTTGTGTTCTAGCTTCTCCCCTCCACGCTTACTAACTCTCCCTTTCTTTCCCCATGCACAGTCTATGACCTACTAACTCTCCCTTTCTTTCCCCATGCACAGTCTATGACCTACTAACTCTCCCTTTCTTTCCCCATGCACAGTCTATGACCTATCCCAGACATGTTATGCTGAGAGAAGGTGGAGTGGGTCAAGCCGGTCAGTTCTCGGTCAAGCATATTGGAAGCCTCACCGTGCAGTCTGCGTACAATAGCATTGACGAAGCCGGCCGCAAGATTCTGGCACAGACACATCCAGCCAAGGTAAATGTGCATGACTTCTTTGAAATATCTCCTTTTCTAAAAGTACGTGCACTGGTGATTAAATAAGTGAGTTACAGCTTGTGATTAAAGTCGTCGCCGGATAGTCGTCGACTGGCTGGTCGGATAAGGGTCAACTGACCTAGTAAAGATTTTTACTGCAACTTTCAAACGTTGTGCACAAATAATCACACTTTTCTCATGCCTGATTATGGGTCGCCATGCATGAGGCTTACTGTAGTACCAAATAGGATCATGCAGCCAGCACTAATCAGTCTAGCTCATCCTGATTGAAATAGGTGGTAAAAAGAAGTGTAGTGTCCTTTGTTGATTTGGGACTATTCTTTAATATATTATATACTCTATGTTGTGAATGCACTCGGCCCTGGTATTTGTTTTGCAGGTTGAGTTCTCCTTCATGGATCTCGACACGGATCGCGTTCAGTTGCGCAAGACAACATCGAATGTCATCTACGCCTCGCACCAGACTCACGCCATCTCGTCGGTGGGCGCGTTCAGCGAAGACTGTCGTGTGTTTGGCTATGTGTTACGACAGCGAGCCTCCCCGGATCCCGTCTGCCACATATTCCGCTGCAGCCGGCCATCTACTGCCCTTGCCATACTGGAGTGCATCAAGGATATGTGTCAGGAGAGCTACATGTCCAGACTCAGATCTAAAGAGGTATGCATGACTGTGTGCATTATGTCCCTGTCTCCATGTCTCCTTGCTCAATGTACTTTTTTTAAACCGCAGATATCATCTGTGTTTAGCTCTACTCAAATCTTGCATCTCTTCTACATGATACTTGTTTCGCTGGTCTCGCAGGAGTCACGGAATACACAGATGTTAACCTTCCGCTTACTTGGGACATTCTCAGTTCTTAGTTGTCGACAATCATAGCAAAGCCCTATAAAACCCGATATTTGCATTCCTGACATAGTGGACCTTGCTAATACTGGAGTAGCAAATATTTGATCTGCTTTTCCTTTCCCGTCATAGATGCAAGAGTCTTCGGATGAAGAGCGTGGCAGTGGAACACCTGGCAATGCTATTCGCAACTTCTTCTCCCGGTCGCGTCGCTCAACAGCGCGCTCGCAGACGGAGCGACGTCTTTCGGAAAGGAATCACAAGCCGGCTTCCCCTACGCCATCGGACGTGGAGCAGTCTGCCGACATGGCATCACGCTTGCGCACGGAGAGTACGGATAACATGGTCATCGTTGAGCTGGAGGAGTCGCCAACACTACGCCGTCTCTACACCACTGTGGATGATCTACCCAGTAGCAGCTCTGACACCGGACTGGAGTTTCCCATCGACTATCTAGGCACGGGCGGCCTTGTCTACACTGAGCACAGACCAAAGGAGATGACGAAAACGGTAAATTACTCTAGTTTCAGAAATTTTCGGTGCTCAATATTTTCGGTATGAGGGCAAAAGGCCAGGCTAGGTGAACAGAAATTTTAGGTACAGAGAATCAGTTCCCTATTGGATTATGTGTGTTAGTGTTTGTTCGGTGTATTGAAATTTTAGGTATGAAACAGATGTACCGAAAGTACGGAAAATAAAAGTACACCAAAAACTTGAGAAACTACAGTAACCCTGTATTCCGAAAGTGCTCAAAATACCCCTGGACATGCACATGGGCATGTTCTTCTTTTCTTTCTTTTTAAAGAAAAAAACATTAGATATTGAGCTGCATATGTGTTGGGTGTGGGTGTTACCCACGTACCTACCAACATGTTCTTCATCAGTTTGCAATGAAACCAGGCTTTCGTTGTGTTGGTACTCAGAAATTCATTCCTGTAGTATTCAGCCAATCTCGAGACAATCTATGTTGTCCGCAGATTGGCCGAATAGGCGTGAAACTCTGAGTAACAACACAAACAAAACATGGTTTCATTGCAAACTAGGGTTGTTTGGCTCTCCCCTTGTGGTATCGAGCACTCTTGCAAAGTAAAATTAGTAAATCGCAACTTAGCTTGTACCAACATGTTCTACACCACTACCTAGCCTGTCATGTGTACTGTGCAGTGTTAACTGAGATACACCTGTGTGTTACTAGTACTAGTACTTTAGAACATTGATGTGTGAAAAACCACTGTATCCCGGTATGTTGTTAGTTCAACAGTGTGTAGAGAGAATATCTTGATAACTGTTAGAAGCTGTCCCGGGGGAAATGTGTAGTCCAGTTGTTCATCAACCCATGGAAGGGACAAGTGACTTATTACTGTCACTGAGAGGCCGAAGCGCTTAGTGGACATTGAGCAGGAACACCCATCAGAATGTGTGCCATCATCTCGTCCTCCCTATCAGCTTGTCTTCCCTATCAGCTTGTTTTCCAATCCGACTCAACCTGCTTTTGGACAGTAAGATTCTCTGTGGATTTGTGCACTTCGGCACGCTTGACCTATTTGGGTGTCTGCGGGGCGCCTTTCTCCTACTTATGCAATCGACGGCTTATGGAAGTATGAAAAGGAACGGGCTGGTCTCTGAGTTTTTAATTGCCCGATTGCCATGCCGATGTGCGTCTTGTGTGTGTTTTGCCCGGCTGTGTTCTGCACAACACAGGTAATGCACGACTTTGCACTAAATGGGCAGGACGCCGGTGCGGTGGATTGTGGCTCCGTACGTGTGTCCATGCGCATCTCCAGCCAAGGCGTGACGCTGACGGACAAGAATCACGTCATGTTCCTGAAGCGCAACTATCCGCGCCGCGGCCTCTTCCACGTCGATCAGCACGCCGTTGATAAGGAGCTGTTCTCGTTTGCAACACTTCCTCCGGCCATGAGCAGCATGCGCAACTCTCCCATTGGCCGTGCCTGTGTCAAAGTACACTTGTTCAGGTGTACCGATGTGCCCATCAACTCGGTCGTAATGGCACTGCGTGGCATCATCCCCCGTTTCTCAGGGTAGCCTGTGCTGCGTAGTGCTGACGCTTGCCGGACAGGTATAATCTCCTGTGCCCGCGTGTCTGATGAGCTATGACTCCAAAGTGTTGCTCACTGCACACTCCTTCCTGCCATTACTTTTCACCTCCTTCTCTTCAGCCGGAATCCTGATAAACTGCCGGATGCAAGGGTAGAATGGTCCTTGAATGTAACAATTTCAAATTTTCCTCGTTGGTCAGTGTTGATCTACAGCTATAGCACAGCCTATCTCGTATCTCCTTTTTTAATATAATTATTTCTCACAGAAATGTATTGACTATAAAATCGTATATGCCTTATGACTTTTTCCAATTTCCTTTTTTGCCACAAGCCTTGATATATTCAGAGATCAGTCGATGTGAACTGCTGCCTGGGTTTCTTTGCATGCATTTGAATATTTTCGGAATTAACTGCTCAACAGAGCTGCACTGAGCTACATTGCTCTTCGATTAACTCATATTTTACCGACTAACTTTATTGTGCGTGCTCTGATTGTTCAAATGCAGCTACTGACTTGAATGCTGAGGTACAAATCATCTTACTCGTACAACGATAGCCCCCACATGCACACATACCACACGATTAGTAAAGTGCACTTCTTGTGTGGCTCAGTGATTCACCGCAGCATACTTGGAAACTGCACTTTTTATTATGCAGAGGACCCTTGCTTCTCAGTGCCGTCAACGAAAACAAAACCCGAGGATTGGGAATTGATGAAGATTAAATGGAGGAGTGTTCCATCACCAGTGATGGTCTTCATCACAAATGCACTCCACGGAAACAATTAAAAAATGTCACCTGTAATTTAAAGTGAAAAAGTGATAACATACATTGTGTTTCAAAGTTTAAAAAAATAATGGAAACGGGTTTGAAGATTCTGTCAAAAACAACCCTTTCAAATAAACTCATTGTTGAAAATTCTCAATACCAGTAACGACATTGTATAGACACCTGGCGATTGCTAGACTTATCATCGATGGGGTCACACAAAGATTATATTGGTCGATAAAAGAGAAAAGTAGACATTCAATTTGTATATAAAACACCGCATCTCCTGTTGTGTACTGTATAATTTCAAGTTTCTCTCCTTTCAAAAGCGTCACCCGTGAGTACATGACTGTATAGTATCAATATTTGTAAAAGGTAAATGTGAAATGTACATATAAAAGGAAAAGTGTTCAGAACCGTTTTCTCATTACGTTCTTCAGTGAACGTACGTAACAATGGATGGAATTTTGGGATAATAATGAAACACTCTTTTTTAAATTGAACGGAAAGAGGTGAGAGAAAAAAACCATTTGGAAAACAACAACTCAAATAGCACTTTTAAAATAGAGCAAGGAAGCGAGAAGCACGATAGCGGCAAGCGCACATCACACCAGGGACAAAATTTGAAGGATGAAGAATCACGTGAAACTTTCAAAGGAACAGTGAACAGGAGGGAGAGGGGCACCAATGACAACATCAAACCTAACAAGGTACTACGGGAACAGTTTGAGGGTGTGACAATTTGATGAAAAGACTCAGTTTCCAATTGTTCTCAACTCCTTCAACCTTACACAAATATTTCCAATTGTCGTTTGTCTTAAACGCAGGTGTCTTCGGTAGCATTTTCTGCAATCTGCCGTATGTTCTGGTATCGTGGCTGTGTGAGTTGAGGCTGTTCAAGAGTCTTGATAAGGATGCTACTAGTACTGGTGGCAGGCACTTTCTGACCCGCATGACCAGGGCTGAACGTGGCTGTGGCAGTCGGGGATGCCATACTGGCTGCACTGCTCTTCCGGGGTGATGTCATCGCCGTGTACTCCTCGTCCATTTCAGATGGTGTGATGCTCACTGTTGAGAGCTTTTTGCCATTCGCCTTAGTAGAGCTGAGTGATGTCATCGCGGTGTATTCCTCATCCATTTCAGATGGTGTGACACTTGGTATTGAAAGCTTCTTGCCATTCGTCGTAGCAGAGCTGTGTGACGTCATGTCCGTGTACTCCTCGTCCATTTCAGATGGCGTAATACTCGCTGTTGAGAGATTTTTGCCATTCACCTGAGCGCCAACACTGAGCAGCTGTGGGCTGGGACGGCGGTGACCACTGTGCATACCGTTGCTACTGAAGAACACGTCACTGTTTGACTGCTGACTGGACTTTCTGCGTGGCTGATGCAAAGGTGATCCATTATCAACATTGTCGTACACTGGACCACTACCAGCACTCGTCTTTGAAGTATGATGACCATTGTGCTGTGGACGCATAGTAGCAGCACGGGGTTTCTGGTAATGGGCAGTGGGTGACTTGCTATCGTGCACAAGAGTAGCCGAGCGGAGCTTCTGCTTCACGTCATGTGAGGCAGCTGCCTTGTCCTGTCCCGGTGCATCATCCAGCATCATGTAGGGACGCTCCAGGGCAGACGCTGATAACTCGACGTGCGGCGACGAGGGTACTTGGGTAAGGTTGCCTGCTGGTGAAGTACGGACATGAGCCAGTGTCGGTGTAGCCATGCTACTACAGCTGCTGCTGCTATTACGCAGGGCTGATGATGTTGGTCGATAGTTAGGATTAACTTCCAGTGAAGAGAGGCTGTCGCTCCGGGCTATTTCGGTGACCGAGGCTAACGCACTTTCACGCTGACGGGCCTCGATGCTGGTGTTGACGTAGTTAGTGCTGACGCATTCGCTGGTCATCGTAGTGGGCCGGTGGTCCTGTAATGCCAGAGTGGCAGTGCCGCATGCCGAATGCTGTGTATCAGTTGAGGCATCGGAGCGCCGTGGTATTGAGCTAGATCTCGCCTGGCGTGATGCACTGGTGTTGTTGGCAGACTCGATCAGCCGCTGACTCAGGAAGTCAATGGAGAACCGCTCATTGACATCCTTTTGCTGCCGTTGACGCTTGCGCTTGAGCCGACGCCAATGGCATGCACGTAGTAGCAGACAAATGAGCAGCACACAGGTCAGTCCACCCAGGACGGCAGCCACTATAGTCAGTGACATTGCACTGGAGGATGTTGAATCATCATCAGCCATTGGGCAGGTCTCACCGTTTGGCTATCGGACCCGGTGCCTGACTAGTCGTCGTTGACTACTGACCACTGTACAGCACACACAACAACAGTCAAATATCAGGCATTGCGAGAAGTCACCTGTGTGGGTGGGTGTTGGGGGGGGGGGGGATACTTTGCAGTACCGTATTTCCCCGATTATAAGACCCAACCCATATTCAGGTCTGAACCGAATTGTATCAATACATTCACATAAGTAGAAAGTCACACTTGAGTGTAAGTCACATCTCCATTTTTACTCTTGAAGTTTAGTGTAAAAAGGTGCGAATTACATTCCGCGAAACATGGTATGTACTACCAGGGCTCAGCCTTTACACATCCTGGTGTCATGCGTTTCGCAAGTAAAAATTCCAGTTTCAGGATATACTGCTAAATGGTGTATGTGTGTGTGTTTTTTTGGAATGCCACAGTGCTACCAGGGACATTTTGCTTCTATGAGCATGATACTTGATACCAGGGTCAGGGCGGGGGGGGGGGGGGGGGGGGAGGGGGTACAGTACTGTTAAGTGTTGAAACACTGGGGGCAGCCTTGTAGCCTGAGCCGTTCTTATTTTCATGTATGGGCAGTAGAGTCATGGCTATGCTGTGCTTGGTAAAATTCTAGCCTGACTGTTCTTCAGTACCCGACAGTACTGTGCACAGCCCCAGACTGTACACGTACACAGCCCCTGAGACTGTGCTCATAATTATTTAGACACAAACATGGTGCTACATGTACAGAGGTCACTATTCATGATGAGGATGAATACCATTGCCCAGTACCGTGAGTACTTCCTGCTCCCGTTACCAATCTCAAGCTAGCAATGCATGTACCAGTATGGTGTGTGTGCGCAGGAAAGATATCTCCTCACTGCACAGACTACCTAGTACCTGTACAGCAGAGGATATGATCACAGGCTCAGTGTGTGCTCAGTGTGTGCTCAGTGTGTGCTCAGTGTGTGCTCAGGGTGTGCTCAGTGTGTGCTCAGGGTTTCCCAACACCTGTCTACGACTCCTATTGTTCTTTTGAGATGCCGCCACATGCAGTGCCATCTGCTAAGCCGCATACATGCCAGTGCTACCTGCTAGAACATTCGCTTCAAATTTTGTGTGTGTGTGTGTGTGTGTGTGTGTGTGTGTGTGTGTGTGTGTGTGTGTGTGTGTGTGTGTGAGAGAGAGAGAGAGAGAGAGAGAGAGAGAGAGGGGGGGGGGGAGAGAGAGAGAGAGAGAGAGAGAGAGAGAGGCTCAGAAAAGAAGAGAGAAGATCTTTGTGTCAGTCAAAGACATACTTCGAAGTATTCTTTTGTCCAAGAGAGGGAACTAACGTTTTTAGGCAAATGTGATGTACCGTATTTTTCCGGTTGTAAGTCGACCTTTTACGACTGAAAATAGAAGGAGAAAGGGTGGGGGTCGACTTACAACCGGGATTCGACTTATAACCGGGAACTATCAGTATCTTACAAAAAATGACCTGCACTGCATGCACGAGTGCACCATGTTTATACATTTTTGCCAGTTCATTGGCCTTTTTCAAGGATTGGGACGTTATCCTCCAATAAGGAATGCTTACATGATTTGTTGATGTGTTAGTAGCAGGAGGTGGTTAGTAGTGCTTCTTTGGGTGAAAACTTTGAAACGCAGAATTGTGACCTCCAGATAGGGGGGTCGACTTATAACCGGGGTCGACTTACAACCGGTAAAATACGGTAGTTAAAAGTTAAAACCACATCATATTTGCCTAGTGCCAGTCAGTAATGCCCAGCCATTGCCATGCACACCACTGCAACATCAGTGGCTAGACAAGGTCTGTGGGTATGTCGTCAACAGGAAATTCAAGAAAGGAAATCACAATAGAAAAAGCAGGCTCCACTGGACATACAGCTAACTCATGCAGGATGCTAACTGAGGGCAGTGTTGGCCAGTGCTCAGTGAATCTCCTTTTCTTCAGAGTCTTTCTTGGAGGGATTTCCCCTTTTGGGTGTATCCCATTGATGTCATCAAACGTATGAGAATAGCATACTCTGCAAACCCTTGCTCCACTTGGTTTCCTGAAGGAACAATAATTATTAATAATAGGATAAATTGCCCTCCACTAACTCAGTTGATGAGATGTACTGCGCGACAACCGGCATAGTGTTCTCAATTTGGTATTCTATGAGCCTGTGACAGCCAGCCTCAAAGCTAAGTCCAAGCCCAGGCCGTGGCAGGCACTCCAACCACTTGGTGCACATAATTACACTGAGGCAGAGCTTTCCCATGTACAATGTAGACCAGATCAGTCAGCAAGTGGTATACAACTCAGCCCCAAATGGCCAACTAACTTGATCAATGCCACAGAGCCACACTGGTATATGTACATCATATCAGTGGTGACAGTACACAGGTGAGTACTAGTATTATGCACATGTAGTACTCGTAGTACTCAGTACTTGTAGGCCTAAATGGCAGACTCTAGTGACAGGACATAACAGGAAGGGTAGCACACATGTACAGGTGCAAACCACAGCGGCACAGGCAGCACATCCTTATTGGTAAAGGGCTGGTTCAGAAACGACATTGACACTGTTTACACTCAGTATTGATACTATCACCCAGAGGGCGGGACGAGCAAGGAGGAGCAAAGTCTTCATCAATACAGATACTGTACTACTGATACTGATTGTGATAGAGCTCTCGGCTAGTAACTGTAGTCTGCAGTAGCTTGTGACTTGTGTACCAGGGAGCAGTATAACTCCCTTGCCCTCAATCATCAGTGAGGGCGAACAGACAAAATGGGTACTCTCATTCTGGAAACGTCAGCTCATACATTGTACATTCATGGACATGCGCTATTGACAGTATTGGGGTAAGCTTTCCTCCTCAGAGTCCTCACCCTAGTTCCCCTAGTTCAGTATGCAGTGAGTTGAGTGAGTGCTCTACATCGTGACATGATGTCAGTCACAACGATCTAACCTGTGGTATTTTCTGGAGTATAAGCCACTCTGGAATAAGCCACTCTGGAATAAGCCACAACCTGATGTTTTGCCACTACAGTACCCTGTATTTCACAGTTCAGTTGACCATCGTACGTACAATGTAGGTAGGGTAAGCAGCACTGACTTCTTTTTGGGTAGGGACAAGTGCCTTCAAAACGTGTGGCTTATAAGTTATAGTACTCTGGAAAATACTGTATCAGTGTATGTGTTGCAGCTGGGTTTGGTGCCTCCTCTTTGGGCTTACATGACATGTACCTCCACCCAGCACACCTGAGCTGCTATCTCCACCCAGACAAACAGTTACAGACTTGATCCAGCCCACCGTGACCAACGAAAACTGCATGTGCAAGCCTCAGCCAGATACCGAGTATTCCCAAAGACAGCACATAGATTAAATTTTATCAGTACTTTTACAGGAGATCGTATTTGCACTGATAATGCATTGCTATTGCCCTAGACTCAGCTTGAAGTACGCATACTCCTAATCGTGCATAAGCTGCTTTACTTACCTCACAAGCCGAAGTAACTGGATATGCCCAGCACACCTGGCCGCCTCCACCACCAACCGGTGCCCGTCCGTGGTCTTGAAGGTCACCACTGCACTGGTCACTGCTTCCACTGTTCCAGGCCCACGTTCTCCGAGTGCGGAGCTAGAGCTGTCGTTGACCAAGCCAAGTGCAGTGCGGAGAGCGTCCTCTTTCTTTGCCTCTGTTTCTTCGGAAACAGCAGGTATATCTTCAATGTCAGTGCCGATCCAACCTTCTCTGCTTCTGCGGAACGGAGCGGAACGGAGCAAGCTGGACAGTTCGGACGTTCAGACCGCAGCCAGGGACAGGTCTAAATTGATGGGTGTTTCTGGTCCTGCTCTGCCCAAACTCTGAACAAATCGGAGCTCGAAGGGCTCTTAGCGGAGGCAGCTCGTGCTCCTGCTTGTGTCCTGAATCACCAGGTCGTGGTCCTATTTTTACTCGATCGGACCGACGCCCAGCGCGCACCCAACTGATGCTCACAACAAGTCTACGTCACGTTCAGCTGAAACGAGGGAAAGGAGCCAGTGATCGAGAGCACTCTCGAGATCCCATTTACCGGATTGATCACCTAGCACCTGGAAAATAATGATGCATGTAGATCCACTAGTAAGTAGACCTACCACTAGTACTAGTACATGATTGTACTACTCACTTCTTCACGATAATTGCTATCGGGTTTTCCCTGGACCGGCCCCGTTGACCAAGCAGCAAACGGCGTTCAACAAAAGCTTCCACGATTATAAACAAGAAGGTGATCAAGTAAGTTAGTCGAGGAACACGATAACTAGGTCCGCAAAGACTCAAGTGTGACGGTAACAAGCTGCAAGGTCGCAAGGTCACGCGCTCAGATGCAGTTCACGTGCAGCATGCAAGCACGACAAGCGCAGCACTAGCACTGTATACAATGACGTTTCTGCCTGTTGCCGGGTAGGGTCACGTCGACGTCTCCTCTCGCTCTCACGAATCAGCGTTACTTCACAGAATCACTAGTAGTTCCTGCGTCGAGTTGAGATTGCAAGCGGCAGGTTCATCAGTATGACTGCTGACCAGACAAAAGTGCAGTGAACCGTATCCTAACAATGTGCACTCCTGCTTTCCGAACAGCTGCCCCAGGGCCAGAAGAGACGCAGACTGCGTGTGCATCTACTGATGATATCATTCAAATCTGGACACTACAACTACAAGTACAATGGAGATCTGCAACAGCTAAATGCTGACCAAACTGAGGAAGTTAGTTTGATTCTGCCTGGAGCCTGGGACGCCACCCTTCAGCGTGCGATCTTACCACGACGTTGCCGGGGAGCAGAGCTGAGCTCTTTTGCTTTCTGCTCATTCCAACGCTTTCATTCAGCCAACTACGCCAAACGTGCATAGAATAGATGTGTATGCTCTACCTCAGTACCTGTCTTGACAGGCACGACTGCGTAGATCTACGGTTCCAAATCCAATCCGAGCCGAAGCCAAGCCAGCAAGGCTTCGAGCCTTTACTTCGTTGAACATCGCAAGCGCCTGTCATGTCTATCAAGCCTAGGAATCCACTGCTCAAGAGTCACGAGATACGGTTGGCACCCGTAAATCATGTACTCCACACTTCAGACAGTTCAGTTACTAGGATAACCGAATGCTAACTACTTACTTGCGCTGAAGAAATATCAGCTACTCTAGTGCTAACTAACTAATACTTACCTACAGGACAGTGTAACTCAATCTCCGGTACAGCAGGCCATGCGTATGGTATAAACAATGATTGTATTCTGCGTTGTAGACTGTCGACATAATTATAAACATTACAAAATGATGGTATTGTGCGGTTCTGCAGAACTAGCGTTACTTGGGAGAGAAGCCTAGCCGACCGCCGGTAGCTAGCTCTAGTCTGGATGCTGTCAAGCCTGCCATCCAGTCATCAAGGAAACCGGCGCCTTCCACAGAATTCTTATCGACACTACTGACTGAATGAAAGGATAAAAGGATGTCAGGATCGCGTGCAAGCGCCTGCCCCTTTGCCTTTGGCTTCATAAAAATGTTATACTTCTAGAGAAGTGTGCGGCTGAGGTCTTTGGAAGCCATCGTCAATGCAGCGCTGACACAGTGACATCTCGTGCAGGCAACCCAGCTAGTCATGGAGTAGACATGTCATTCTTGTCAATGGCCGGATCCAATACTGCAATAGAAAACGCCAAGCTCAGCATCTTCGTGTTGAATACCATGAAATACATGATTGTATTTGTAGGACTGTGAGGCTTTTAGCATGAGGTGGAGTACTGAACAGTGAATTACCGGTACATGTACTGATCCGGTAGCCATCCGATTACGTGGAAATCCGTTCCATGATTGTATACATGTACTGCAGTTACCAGTACATTGTACATGTACATACTTACCAGTACGAGTACTGTACAATCAAAATAGAAAATTTATAATAGAAAATTTATACTCATGACTGACTGTACGGCTCAAAACAAACTGATGATTGCATTCTACGTTGTATCTCACTCAGTCACTGCCAGTATGGCGTTCTAAAATGTGAACACGTCAGCTTGACCACTCCTCACAGCGGTTTTCACTGAGTCCAGGACTATTGCTAGCCCTGCCAATTTGCTATGCATAGTCTGGGCGGGTAGTGCGGGCAGTAAAATCAGCAGAAGTTAGTTGGTACTGGTACTGTTTCTGGGAAGCTTCATACAATGCTTCTGCTTCGATAGGGAAGAGCAGCAACTACAGGAAAATTCTGCTTTTCGGTATGGTTCTTACAGGGTGCGGTATGGTTCTGCCTATTTTAAATGCTTTCTCCGAAGAATATGCAGTGAAGTAGTTCACCGGTTACCACTACGTCGTTGTATCAGTAGCAGTATGTACATGTACGTGAATACTGGTTGTGCCACTTGTGGCAATGCTACCATTGTGTTTGCAGCGCGCCCATTAATTATTATCAAGGTCTGATTCAACTTAAGTCTTTGGCAAAGCAAAGACGTGTGCTGGGCCTGCCCGGACTGGAAAAGGACGAGGAGTCTGTACACTTGTACACTTGTAGTATCCCTGCTTTACAGTTTACCCGCTTGGGTCGTAGATCTACACACTGACTGACACTGACTGTACATGCATACTCGTATCATGGCTATCGTCCCTGGAGACACTCGAGCAAAATAGCAATTCAAGGTTGGGACCCAGCCCCGAAATCAATGGTATTTGTTTCGGATTGAGTTTGTACCGTTGTGTGAAGAATGATGGTGCAATGATGATGTCAATGCCAATGGCCACTTGACCAGGCAGGGCGGGTGTTCCAGCTGATAACCATTGTATTCGTAAATGGCTGACACGTAACGGTACCAGTACTACTAGGCAATTGAGGCGTCAAACTCTGCTCGTTTCATTGTGAGCTCAGAGTCAGACTCAGAGTTGCGGGTTGAAAATGAGTGTCTCGATTGACGCACAACCTAAACGTCTCGAGAGAGTTTCACTTTACTAATCCCAACCAATCCAGTCACACAAGTAACTACAGTTAGTGATTCCAACTTACTTCTCAAATCCGTACCCTCATTCCCAAAGAGTTACTGGATACGAGCCAAGACAATGTACAACCTTTCTCTACCATCACAAAGGAATAATAACTGGCTGGCTGCCAGAGCAGCGGAAGTCAAGCCGAGAATGTCGCGTGCACTACGGACTGCACGATGGAACATGTAAACCTAGGAACGGCTATTCATGCACCGACTAGAGTAGAGGCAAAGTGTACTAATGGTGAAACACAATGTCAGTAGGGGACAAGAGTAACTAGAGTCAGCTATGCACGACTAGACCAGGCCGAGTCATGACAGCAGTCATTACACTACAAGTGGTACATCGGGATGCAGATCACGACACTCCGGCCAGCAAAATGTTACACTACTGGGTAAAGAGAAGAAAGGGTGATAACGGATAGAAAGCAATTTGGATCTAATGAACAAACGCAGCGGGGTGGTTCTCACGAAAGGGCCTAGTGTAATGCGTAACAAGCCAGCGGAGAACGCACTGTGAGTCGCACCACAGGAAGCTCTTCGTGATGTCGATGCCGAGCTCTTTGCGCACAAATAGCAGAGCTCTGGTTGCAATGACTACGCCCATGAGCTCTAGGCGGGGTATGGTGAGCTCCCTTTTTGCTGGCGCCAATCGCATCTTGCAGAAGAGCAGTGTCGATGTCGCATCAGGTCCGTTGGCTTCACGGAGGTAGACACACGCTGCATAGGAGTCCTTTGATGCGTTACAGAAGACATGAAGTTGTCGATCGGTGACTGACTTCAGAGTGGAGGTTCGGCGTTGGATACGGATGTCTGCGACCGGCTCAAGTATACCCTCTATGCACTGCCATTGCTCGAGTCGTTCTGTGGGTAGAGCGTCGTCCCAAGACAGGTCGTCCCTCCAAAGCGTTCTCAAAAACACTTTGGCATGGAAGGTGACTGGGTTGAAGAGTCCGAGTGGATCATAAATGCGTGCTACGTTGTGCAAAACACGCCGTTTGGATGCTATGCTGTCGACGTCAGGCGACTCGGAGCTCACACCTGGAATGTGGAATGTGTCGGCGACAGTATCCCACTGCAGGCCGAGAACTTTCTGGCTCGTGTTCGTCGCTGTCACACTCGGGTCAAACACAGAGGAGGTAGCAGGGTCATTGGACGACCACTCACGTACATTCATGGACGCGGAGTTGAACACCTGCCGAGTCTCGCGGTACTTGACCTCGGCTTCCTCTGCAGTACCAGCCGTCAGCATGATGTTATCCACGTAGATGTTCTTGCGAATTTCGGCTGCTGTGGCTGTCTTGTGTTTGTCAAGGTGATGCCTGATTGTGGCATCCAGCAAGAACGGACTGCTGATGATGCCAAATGGTAGTTGGCAGAACCGGTAGACTTCGATGTTGTCCACGATGACGTCCGGCTTAGTGATGTCACGATACCACAGAAATCGGGTGACGTCACGGTCTGTCTCTTGAATCCTTACTTGCAGGAATGCCTTCTCAATATCTGAGATTAGCACGATCGGGGCCAGGCGAAATCGTAGCAGAATGCCGCAGAGGCTAGGCAGGAGGGACGGCCCTTGATTCAGGCAGTCATTCAGGCTCGGTGCTGTCTTATTGACCTTCGCACTGGCGTCATAGACCACTCGGAGTTTGGTGGTAGCCTTCGAAGGAGACAACACTGGATGGTGCGGCAGATGGTGCGAGCGTTGACCGCACTTGGTTTTCTCTGTGACTCGCTCGATAATGCCAAGCCGTTCCTGCTGCAGCAGCACGTCGTTGTACCTGGTCAGCAGGTCTCGATCTGCTGCAAGCCGTTTCCCCAGTGACTTCATCCTTCCGTAGGCTAGGTCCTTGTTGTGTGGAAGCTGCATGTCGGGCTTCCATGGAAACTGGACTGTGTAGCGGCCGTCGGCAAACGTGACGGTCTCCTCGAACTGTCGAACTGTGTCGTCATCTGTTGGGAGACTTGCTGGGTCCTCCACACCGATCCTTTCTAGCGACCAAAACTCCGTCAAGTTTGGTTCGACTTCAGCAAGCAGAGCAGAGTCGGCGGTTGCCATGTAGTCATATAGCGGACGCTGTAGACCGGTGCTTGCCTGCGTCATGACAAGAAGCGTTGAGCTGTTGCTGTCATCCGACTTGGACGAACACTGTCCTGTGACGATGTGACCCAAGAGCGTATCCATCACGTACAAACCTGACGGTAGACGCTGCGGTGATCCTTGCACAAGATTTCCGTAATGATCAGAACCAATGAGAATGTCAATGGCCCTCGTCTCGGCTGTTGATGGTACGGTGTCTGCCATTTGAATGGATGGTTCGCCTGCCAGGAACTCCGCATCTTCAGATGGAAGAGGGTAGCGTCGGATAGGTCGTGTAATGGTGTCGAGTACATTCGCTTTGATGAGGTACCTCTGTCCGTCGGACAGTGAGATGGACGTCTGAACGACCGATGTAACAACACTGCGTGGGTGTGTCACTCCAAAGGTGATGAGGGTCAATGACTCTTGTCTCTCCGGCTGCAGCTGAAGCTGCTTGCTGAGCTGGGTACTCATGTAAGTGCGATTGCTGCCGGTGTCCAGTAACGCATGCGCGGTGATAAAGCTACCATCGGCAGCTTGAATCTGCACTTGTGCTGTCTGGAGGAATACTGCACCAGTCTTGTCGCTGGGACCCTCTGACACGAGACTGGCGGAGCACGTATTTACAAGTTCCTCATCATTACCCTGTGTGGAGACGGCCCTGGCAGGTTGTGAGCCATTTGGTTGTGGCCTTGAGCTGCCTTTGGAGGGCTCACGTCTCTCATGGGCTGGGCAGATAGCTCGGTTGTGGCCGGTCTTGCTGCAGTGAAAACAAGCCTTGGTTTTCTCTGGGCACTGGGACGCCATATGGCTCCGTCGCAGACAAATGAAGCAACGACCTTGTTCTCGGAGCTTCTGTTGTCTTGTCCGAGCCAGCTTGTAGGTGACGCACTGGTCGTTGAAGTGAGTCCCTTTGCAGAAGACACATAGACGTGGAGGCGCACTATGCGTTGACTGAGATGAAAGAGCGTGTCCAGTTCCTTGCATGGTCATTGGTGAGCCGTGCTGTGTCTGTGTGGCCGGTGTCCTTGAAGACTGAGAGGCAGAAGTCTCGGAACCTTCCCGCAAATTCCGGTGGATTTCGGCATACCGCTGAAGGGCGGATCGCAGGGTGGCGACCGTCCACGACTGATGGCTCGATGTTCGCCATTCCTCTAGCTTGGTGAGTACTTCCGTAGGGAACTTGGACAAAATGTGCTGCACCAATAGTGGCTGCTGTTCAACGCTAATGCCCATGGCAGACAGCTGTCGTAGTATCCGTTCGATGTTGTCAATGGTGTTCCGGATATCACGGTGTTTGGACGATGTGCTTTGCAATCGCTGCAGCTTGGTATACAGGGCAGCAACAATATCATCTGTCCGTCCGTATCGTTCTTTCAGTAGCTGTACGGCCGTGGCATAGTTGTTGTTGGTGATAGCCAGACCAGCGAGCGTGTGGGCAGCTCGGCCAGTGAGGGCACTCTTCAAGTAGCTCAGCTTAACGACATCGGACATTGGCTGTTTGTCCACGGCAGTTTCAAACAGGTCCCAAAAATCGGGCCAGTTGGTGACCTGCCCGTCGAAGCTCGGTATTTCCATCGGTTTTAGCTTGAACACAACGGAGCTTGGGCCGGCTGCAGCGGATATGCTGGTGTGTTGTGGCGTTTGGTTTTGGCTCAAAGCCTGGGCGACATTCATAACTGCGCCCTGAAGAGCTTGCTCCAGTGGGGCAATAGCATCGCGTGGCCAGGTTGTGGCTGGTGGAGGGGCTGTCCTGGCGGCGACAGAATGGTCTGGTGGATAGAATGTTTCTGCATCTGGCTGAAGCTGTTGTACTGCTTGTCTGTCCTGGGTCTCCTGCTGGAGGTAATGCTCATAGTCATAGGCCCTGTCCTCACGGCTGTCCGCGGCTGACCAGATTACAATATGGCGTCGTTCCACCGGGTTTTAGAGAGGTTTTGGAAACTCGATGCGAATCGGTAAATTCTTGTGAATAGTAACAAAACCAAGTTGGTTTTCAGTATGATTCGACACAAAAAACGCAAACAGTTGAAGATCGTTTGAAAATTTGAAAGAGGAGCATGATCTGGTGCTCGAAATGTTTTTCTTTGGAGCGTTGGAAATACAAAACACGAAGACAGACATTGCTGTCACCACGCTGTCTTCTTACCTGTTTACGAGGAGACTGGACCTTGGTCCTCGGCTTTCCTCTTCTGTGGACGAGGAGCCAGCGTACTGGCTTCTTTGGTGGTTGTTAGCAGATGCTGCTCGGCGACAACTTTCAGCCTGGCGAGGTCTCCTGGTATGTTTTTATAGATGGCGTTGAGGGTGTTGAGACTGGCGTGCAAGCTCTCTGCCCCTTGCTCCGCGAGCAGGCCCAGACCAACGCCAAGTTTCCTGATGAGCGGCACCGTATGATTCTCTAACAGGTGAAGTTTCGGCGTGATGTTTCCAAGTCGCCGTGCCACAACGTGTCGTCTGCACATACTCAAGAAGCGCCGAACTTCAGACTCTAGCTTATCCATCTCGTCTGCTGAAACTGCCTGGCTGTGACTGAAGATAGCTCGACAAGAAGCGTAGCTGTTCATCAGATTCTCGTGTAAAGATGCTATTGTTTGGGCCTCCTCCGCCAGGACTGGACACCTGGACGTGATGACTGGTACGTGAGCATGGCTGATGGCAGCGACCACGGTGGGCTTCAAGGCTTGGTGGACGTGATTGCCGATGAAAGCACCACCGTGGTACACTTGACGTTCAATCTTGTGGTGTTGGAGAACAGGCTCCACAGAGGCTACGCATGGGCCACTGAAGTCCTTACTGCGGCATAGCTTGGCAATTTCGTCCTTCAAGGCGTCGACAGTCGAAGTGTGTTGCTGGGTCTTCGTAACTGCTGCCTGACATGTTTGCTGTAGAGTAGTCACCAATGCCAGTAACGCCTGTTCCGCTTGGTTCTGGATGTGGAGAGCTACAAATTGCATCTGTTGTTGGACCATTTGCTGTTCGTTGACGGCTTGGTCAAGTTGCAACTGTGCGCAGCGGAGTTTCTCGTGGAGGGCACACAACTTGGTGAACGTACCAGCATCGTTGGTGTCAGCATTGCATTTCGAAGCAAGCTTCGAGTCCAGTTCCTGCAGGTCCTTCAGAAGGGCTTCAAACATCCATGTGTAGATGCCCAAGTCGAGATGCAGCACCGGGATGATTGCATTTTCAACGGGCACTGGCAATATGCACGGACGAATGACATTGTTATAGTGCTTTGCCTGTGATATCTGCGAGCCAGCTTCAGAAAATCTGCCATAATCATCAGCCAATGTAGTCAGTGTGCGTGCCTGTCTATGCGCATCTGTTCTATCATCATTTGGATTGGCCATCTCCTTCTTCGGACACAAACAGTGCAAGCATGGACGCAGTCCGCCAGAACCTGACAGCCCGTAGTTCATAGTCTGAAATTCGTAGTCGCCGAACATGTACACTCTCAGCTGCCTGCCGTTCCATACCGTGCTTTGCAAATGCTCAATCTGTGGAGCATACTGTCCAAGAGCAGTCTTCAAATTGGCCGGAGTGTCTTTCTCCTCGAATATGCACAGTGGAATGGTGTTGTGCGTTGCGTTCGGTGCTAGTACGTTGGCGATCTGCAAACTTAACTTAAAGTTGCCTCCTCCGTGATCACCGCCAATCTTGAGCCATACTTCGGACTGTGGAATCGTGCCTGAATGCCATGTCAAGCTGTCACTCTCATTGAGGATGTCGAGGAAATGCATGACAACAGCGACAAGGTCCGGAAAAAATACAGTGGCAGCCATGGAGACATCGCCATTCCGCTTCGACATCGGCAGCTCTGTAGCGGTGTAGCTGGGCAGCGTCTTCGCGATGAACTCTCGTATAGAACGCTCAGACTCCAACTTTACTCCGAAGACCTTGAGCCACTGCCGCAGCTTCCTCAATTGGCTCCATGGCAGTCGGAGGTCTGCCTTGATGGCCAGCGCGGTGCCAGGCGAAGGTGAACTACACTTCAAGCCAGCTTCCTGCAAGAGCTCCTCCTGTGCAGCTGATGAGAGCCGCTTCAGCCCAGCAATCATTTGCACTCGAGCTCCATCCGATCCACCACAAACGGACTCAGCAATTCGGGTCAGCTCAGCAGCGCGGCGTTTGAGTGTTGAGGCAGACGCATCGGTTGACGGTACACTGCACTCTGGTGTTAGCTGGTAAACTTGCGGTTTGCCCCTGCCTCCCTCGCCAGTTTTCACCTCCAGCCTGCCACCCTCTGCCCTAGCCGTGACCAGACGTGCAGTGAGGTTGGTTGCCACATTGCCCTTCAACTTCGACGGAGAAGCACTTAGAACCTCAGCCACTGTTGACGATGGGCGCACTGAGCGGATAGGTGTCGTACTCGGCGGCGGGCTACGTGCTGTGCTACATGATGGCGTCTCTGCAGGATTGAACGGGCACATGTTGACATGACGTTGCAAGTCATGCAGCGGCACGACTTCAGGACATCCACGTAGCGATGGCTCGTGGAAGTCGCAGTGTATGGACTGGCTGCTGACAACCCTGACTAGACTAATGCTGGGCGTGCGCATCGATGATGCAGCCATGTCAGCGCTACAAGACTTGCATGTGTTATTCGTGCTGAGCCATTCGCTTATGCACTCTGCACAACTCAGCTCATTGCAGCATGCTGTTTCCAGGATACCGTCTGCGGCATTCTTACAAATGATGCAAATTTGCACCGCATTTCTGTCCAAAAATCTGTCCCTGTCAAGCGGCAATATTGCACGATGTTGTCGCGCTGCTCTTGATTGTATGCATTCTGCACTGATATCTAGACCACTTACACTGCTGCCGGCTGCGTGTGCAGGTGATCCATCATCACTCTGGTGGCTGGGTGCTGTCAGGAGTGCGGCACCTCGCAATGCTGTTTTTGGTTTTGCATGGTGCGCGCTTGCGCCCCTTTTTTTCTGGCTTGCACACACAGAGCAGTTTGTGCGATGGTGTGGCTCCCATTTGGTGACAGGTCCACAGCCACCTCCACAATGGTCTGCCTTTCTACTGGCTCTCTTTAGGGCTCGCTCGCACAGAATACAGATGTATGGTGGGTGGATGTCTGGGCAATCTTTCGAGATATCAATGCCATGTACAGATTTCAGCAGATCACTATATTTTTCCACACTATATCTAGTAGACTGCTTGAAACAGGAAAACTTTCTGCCACCGACTCGGCAGACTTCTTGCAGCAGCGATTTATGCTCATCCATGATCACTCTACGTCCTCACAACAACTGGAGAGTAACACAATTGCAGTTACGATCCAGTAAGTGTGGGAAATACCAAAAGTGTGGGAATATTGCAAACGCAAGTCACACGGAATTGATGCACGTCACGGAACGAAATTTTCTACAGCACCAGAACGGACACTTACCTACCCGATTCCAAATTATCTAAACGATACTCAAATCTGGGGATACTATTTGAGGCACAAACGTTGGCTCAAATTCTGCACGACGAACGTCCCAGGAGAGGAAAACAAACGTCCTCCAGAGACAAGGAAACAAATCGAAGCAGCGGTCGCGCGGCATGTACGCGGAGCTGAGGGAAAGGCAAAGCCGAAAAATCGAAAACTTAGGGCAAACCAAGCTGATTGGAGACGAAAAGTGGCGAAGTCTGTGGAATACTTAGCTGTCTAAAGCAATTCCTGGACGAAAATCATGAATTTTTACGCGTTCTCGGCCGCCATATTAAATGGGCCAAAATCGCGCAAAAAAACAGCCGTGTCCTCACCACTGCCATAGGTGGGACTTGGGCTGGGCACCGCATGCACTGCTGGAGTGGCAGCAGTTCTACCAGTGCCAGGGCCAATGGCATGCCTGACACGTGGTTTGGGGACTGGTGGCACTGGTGATCTTGGTTGGCTTCTGACACTGACTGCTGCGCTGGTTTCCTGTGCATTTGCTGCGCTGGCAGGAGACTCAGTTGCATCTACTACATGTACAATGTCATGAAGCACTGCACTTTGTGCGTGTGACTGTTCAGCCGACTCACATTGGGACTGTCGCGGTGGCTCAACAGTGTCACAAGCACTTGAAGCAGCAGTGTCGATATCCGTGTCGGCACTCTTCTCACTCCACGCATGTAGTGTTGGCGACGCATGACATGTTGGTTTTGGTCCGCTGCGAGGGCTAGACATGGCCGCATCAAGAACATCTAGCGCGCGTGGCCCATGCTCTTCTAGTAATCGGAGTCGGGTGCGGCGTTCGTCTTCAGCTTCATACTGAGTGCGAGAATGGTGGTCGCATTGTTGTAAACATTGTGCGAGCCTCAGCAAACACACGCATTCAAGTTCGAAATTATTCTCCCACGCGTCTTGTTCATCTAATTTCTTATCCTCGTTTGCGTCTTCTAAGCTCCGTCTAATATTGTCTTGGATACCCTCGATGTTTGACTTCAAACCGGACGCCTCATCGTAAAGGGAACGTGCGGCAGAAACATCTAGGCGGCCAAGAGCGTCTGCACTGAAACAATCAGTTCCTAGCAGGTCTAGGTGAATTTTTATCTTTTGCCTCACCCTCGTCAGTCGACGCTTCATGTTGGACCTCGATTGGATCATCTGCTTGTATTCGGGGTTGGACGAGACTAGCAGCCGCTCCGGGTCTCCTGCACCAGCGTCCGTGCCATCGGTCTGGTCCTTGCTGGCGTCCTCA